TTGCCCCGGGTGTCTCACTGCCCCCACTACCAGAGCAGGCCAGTTCCCTCCTAGGTGGGTGCCTGGGCTTTTCCAGAAAATGCCTGTTGGCTTGGGTCCTCCTCGAGCCACATTGCCTCCCTCTTCTGTCCACCGACACGCTGAGCACACGAGGGTTGTATCACCCGCCTGCTCAGAACCCGCCAGCAGCTCCCATCACATTTAGACTCCAATCCTACTTCCTTACGTGGCCCCCGAGGCCCCAGGCCCACCCTGGCTGCCTGATTAGTAATTCTTTGTCCTGGTTTCCACCCAGCCTTCGGGTGATTCGGTCACCCTCTGCGAGAGCACCGCCATCGTGTCCCATGGGACCACGGGCCTGGTCACGTGGAATGCCGCACTCTACCTGGCCGAGTGGGCCATGGAGAACCCAGAGGTGTTCGCTCACAGGTGAGCTGGGGGCGCAGGGCCGGGGCCCCAGGGGGGTCTGCTGCCGCGCACCCGTGGACACAGCGCCTTCTCCCCACCTCCCAGGACGGCCTTAGAGCTGGGCAGCGGGGCCGGCCTCACCGGCCTGGCCATTTGCAAGTCATGCCGGCCCAGCGCGTACATCTTCAGCGACTGTCACAGCCGCGTCCTGGAGCAGCTGCGAGGGAACGTCCTTCTCAATGGCTTCTCGTTGGCGCCAGGCATGGACGCCTGGGCACAGCACCCGGGACCCCGTACCCCCAAGGCAGAGCGCCCCCAGGTGACGGTGGCCCGGCTGGACTGGGACACGGTGACGGCGCCGCAGCTTGCGGCCTTCCAGCCAGACGTCGTCCTCGCCGCAGGTACCGCCCAGCTACCAGCAGGGACGCGGGCAGTGGACGCTGCCTGGAGGGAGGAATGGTGGGACCTGGGTTGTATGGGCCTCCAGGGTGACCGCACAGCGCAGGGCGTGCCTCCTGGGTGCCCCAAGGCCGCAGCCGCCCCGTCTGAGACAGAGGCCACACGCCCTACCATGCGAATGGTCCGTCCTGTGGAGGAACCAGCTCTGCCCAGCAAGGTGTGAATGAACAGAACAGGCCCCAGGGCACCAGACCAGTGGGACCAGTCTTAGCCAGGCCACAGCCCAGCGGCCAGAGTTCAGGTCCCTCTCCAGCAGCCTGAGGGAGTCCTCTCAGTCTCTTCCAGAACAAAGATGAGAAAGCCAGAGTAGCCCCAGCGGGCCGGCCCCACCTACACCCCTGTCTTCAGATGGGGACGGAAGTGGCCACTGCAGCCGCATCTTTCCAGGACCATGGACAACGACCTGATCCTGACTCCTCTCTGTGCTCTGGGCCAGGCCGCGGGTCGGGGAAGGGGTTCTGGGGGCCCCACATCCGTTCCACGCACACCTGTGCGTCTCTGAGGCCTAAGGTGCTGCCTGTATGCCTCTGTCCTGGGTCCACGAAAGAGCCCCACAAGCAGGGCCCACCCACTTCTGGTGCAAGAACGGGGCCTTTGAGGAAAGTGGCGTGTGGCCTCCTCCGCCAAGCTCACCCAGCCCGTCTGGCCAGTGGTGCTGCACTCGGGCCTGGCCACGGCCCCGAGGCCCAGGCTGAAGGCAGCAGAGCATGGAGTCTAAGCAGCGTGCCCCCGCGGGCCCAGCTGGTGGGCGGGAGGGCGCCTGTCCCCACTGGAAGGAACCAGAAGCCTGGGGCAGACTCAGCTTTGCTTCATTAAGCATCTTCTAAACAGGCCACAGGCAAACAATGGATTTTTTTTCTTGTAAAGGAACGCCAGTGAGTCCTGGATATTTTTCATGTGTTGTAGTGTCTTTCAGCAGCCTTTTTGATCTGCTAAGTTTTTCTGTTTTTACCCAACGTAATTTTCTTACCGTCCAAGAACACAAGCCTAATTAAACCACTGCTTTCCGGGCCTTCATCTCCCGAGTGTCAGCACGGAGACCCTCATCCTGAGGGAGCCCTTCCAGTAACCTGGGTTTCCATCACAGACGTGCTGTATTGTCCTGAAACGGTCCTCTCCCTGGTTGGGGTCCTGCGGAAGCTCTCGACCTGCCAGAAGGACCAGCGGGCTCCTGATGCATACATTGCCTTCACCATCCGCAACCCGGAGACGTGCCAGCTGCTCACCACGGAGCTGGGTGAGCCCCGGGCCCCAGGCCAGGCTGCTGTCTCTGAGAGGCCTGCAGCGTCACTGCACTGGCCCCACACAGTACTCCAGGGAGGGCAGAAACCAGGAAAGTAAAAGAAGGGCGGGGGGGCAACCTGGAGACAAACCAGGAAGCCCGAGACCATGGTGTGCTGGACAGACACCCCGACCCTCCGCCCAGGTCAGCAGGGGAGGAGGGAGGCAGCTTATGCAGTGACCTCGGAAGTCTGAGAGCAGCATTCCTACTGTGTGTTTAGGGGTTCTGAGAGCCTTCAGTCTTTCCTTATCTGTGAAACGGACAGGGCGGTGGACGCCACCCGGTATCAGGGTAGACAGGAGCTGGGCCACTCTCTCCGGGTCCTCACTGTACAGCGGAAACATCCCCCTCGGAGGTGGGACAGGGCTGGCAGGCAGGGGGCCCTCGGGGAAGCGGCGGCCACCATCGCTGGATCAAGCACACAGTAAATGGAAGAGTCGGGGGTGCTTCAGAGAAAGGGGGTCTGCCTGACTCAGCTGCGGGGGGTGGGGGGGGCACTGTCCTTAGACCTGACCTGGTCAGCCCCTCTAGCACCTGGTGGAGGCATAGGGCTGGGGTCATCCTGTCTCACCCAGAAAAACACTGGGGTACAGGGCGACTAAGTTAATCATCCAGGCAGCCAGGGACTAGACCCAGGCACCCAGCTCGCAGTCTCCACCCACCACCCCACAACCCCCGCCCTGCGATCCCCAACCATGTGCCAGGTGTCATCAGGGCTTCCCACACAGACCAGACAGCTGTGCAGAGCCCTGCACCAGCCCCAAGCCCACCCCCAAACCAAGCAAAGCCCTCCCACGGGTGCCTCTGCCAAGAGGGATGACCAGCACCCACCCCCCCGTCCCACTGACAGGGTGTTTGGCCTCAAAGAACAATGAAGTCTTTTTTTCAGATGCTTACAAGAACAAATATCCATGCTGTATTTTTTAATACAATTTTTTAATATGTGTTTGGCTGCTCCAAGTCTTAGTTGCAGCACGCAGGGTCTCTAGTTGTGGTGTGTGGGATCCAGTTCCCTGACCAGGGGTGGAACCTGGGCCCCCTGCATTGGGAGCACAGTCTTAGCCACTGGACCACCAGGGAAGTCCCCTCCAGGCTGTATTTTAAGTAAAGAAATCGGAGTACTAAACAGCATATAGAGTATATACATATACTGTATGTGCTGTATACGTATACGTATGTATGCAGCATATGGGAGAAGGAAATGGCAACCCACTCCAGTGTTCTTGCCTGGAGAATCCCATGGACAGAGGAACATGGTAGGCTACAGTCTGTGGGGTCACAAGAGTTGGACACAACTTAGACTATACTACTACTAAAATTCACACTGGAGAAGGAAATGGCAACCCACTCCAGTGTTCTTGCCTGGAGAATTCCATGGACAGAGGGGCTGGCGGGCTGCAGTCCATGGGGTCACAGAGAGTCGGACACGACAGAGTGACTAACACACATACACACGCAGCATATACAGCCTATTTTTATTGTTAAAAATAACCACATTAATACACACATGGGGGAATTTCATACATGGTAATTAACATTATTAACATGTTATACTTGGACAGCAGGATCATGAAACTTAACACAGTATGTCTAGTATTTCATTTTTATAAATACTGATTTTTTCATTCATAAAAAAACTGATGACAAAACCACCCATGCCAGGGACTTGTCAGACATCCATGCTTACAGAGAGGACATAAGCCCCTCTGACACAGGCCCAACCTCTGAAGGCACCAGGCTGAGCGGTCAGGCAGATGTGGGTTCAGACCTCGGCTCCTACTGAGCGTGCTTGATGAGAGGGTGGAGCACAGAGGCAGAGAGCGATGGGGAACCAACCCTCTGAGGGACGCACACGGCCCAGTGGGCAGACACAGGAAACCTCGCTGCTGTGAGCTGCTTACCAAAGGGGTTCCTGGTCCCAACCTGGAGGCTGGTTCCGGGTGTCTGTCCCAAAGCCCCATCCTGATAGGGTGGCATCCCGCCCCCAACCCCCAGCACCCTGAGATGTGTCTGTTCTGTTTCCAGGCCGGGCTGGGATCCCGTGGGAAGAGGTGCCTCGTCACGACCAGAAACTGTTTCCCTACGAAGAGCACTCAGAAATGGCGATTCTGAAACTAACGCTGTAGTTTTCACAGATGGTTCTAAAGGGCAACCTGAAAATCAAATCACTGTCCTGGAAAGAATCTGATAAAACTTCCACTGGACTTGAATGTTCAAAAGATGTTAAATTCTCAATCCGAAGCCATAAAGTGCTCTAACAAAATATAAACTGCTCGAGTGTGTGGGTACCCTCTCTCTGCCCGCTGGCTTATTTCTTAAGCAAATCGCCGTTAAGTCAGAAGTGAAATTTTTGGCTCAGACAGAAGCATTTCATTTGTGCAGATAAAAACATATACCAAGTGTGTTTTCCCCAACCTCGGGACGTCCCTCACAGAGCCACGCTGCATGTAGGATACATCCTAGGGTCCCTTCCCGGGCCAGCGGTGGGGCGGGGGTGGCCTGTAGTGCCTGTTTTCAAGGCAGGAATCAAAATATTGGGGATAACGGGAGTTATTTCCCCCCTCATAAAGTGAGGGGGGAAAGACTCACAGAAGACAGAAGAAAAAAGGAATTCAGAGCCTCCAAAGAAGAAAGGAGGCTGAGCCAGCTTCCTGGGCCACCAACCCCTGATTACCAACAGGAGCGTCATTCCCCGGGCAGTACCCACTGCTGTCTTTCCAGGAGCCGTCCACCAGGCGGCGCCGCTCCACAGCATCCGGCCAGCAGCGCCAGCCGCGAGGACAGGAGCCGGCGGGCTGGCTGGGGAGGAAGAGGAAAGGCGAGGCACGGGACACCTCACTGGCCCGAGGGGTCACGTGTCCGAGATCAAAGGGAGCACCGTCCGCTCCCAGCTCTCATCCCAGCGGAGCTGCTCTGACTCCCGGAGGCTCTCGCGGAACTGGTGCAGTTTGCCAGCAGGATCGGGAAACTTCGAGAAAAGTGTCTGGAAGAAAGAAATGAGGACTTACCTTCCGGTCCCACCCCAGGTCCCCACGCCCTGAGCTGCCCCTACTGCCCCTTCCCAGCCGCACCCCAAACCCAGCTGCCAGACACCCCCCTGCCCCCCCGCCCCCCGTCATCCTACTGAAACCCTCCCTCCTCCCCAACACCTGCAGAGCCACCCGTGTCCCGGGGTCTCCAGCGAAACTCCCGACCTGGCCCAGCTTCCCCACCAGGCCTGGCTGATAACCCTTCTCATCAGCTCTGACCCCCCATCCCCGACCCAGCAAGCCCCCCCTTCCCACGGGACACCGGGGAGCCCTCCGGCCCCAGCCCAGTCCACCCCCTGCAGTTCGGACAGGACAGCGGCAGCGTTCACACCCACACCGTCCACATGCCGTGACCAGCAGCCCCCACCCCTTCTCCCGCCAGGCTCTGCGGTTCTTCCCACCAGGAGCACCACCCCCTCGCCGTCTGCCCAGCACCGTCCTGCCCACGTGAGACCCAGGCGACGCCTGTGTTCTGCCAACCTTGCTAAACTAAGGTGTCTGCAGGTGCCAGCCTATGGGACACCTGCGGCCCTCCGCTTGTCCAATAAAAACTTGTAAACAAAGTTTTACTGGAACATGGCCACGCCCCTTCACTCACAGACTGGATGCTCTCACATTACAACTAAGTTGAGCTGTTCTGACAGAGACTATGGCAAAGTCTAAAATTCCTTCTGGGCCTTTCCAAAGTTTCCTGCCTTTGGGCTCAACTGTCAAGAAAGACGACGTATCCCTTTTCATCATTTGTAGTAAGAAATAAGTACCTTTGAAGATGCCCGCCCACCTCGCAAGGCTGGTCCAGGAAGAGCCCTCACGCCTCCCTCTCCCCCCTCCATCCAGTACCCCTTAAACAGCACGCAGTCCACTCAGCTCTAGCATCATCTGCGTGGTGTGAGCTCCATACACCCAGACGGCAGGTGGGGCGAGCCCCGATTGTCCAGGCCCACTGGGGCCCAGCATCTGAGACTGCTGCTCCCTCAGCCAGATCGAGCCCAGGCCCACCCGCCCAGCGGCAGGGACAAAAAGTCACCGGAGCCCTGCGAGCCCCGGTGTGGAGCAGACAGACAATGCCACCTGTAGCTGAGCTGCCAGCTCCTCCGAGCCCTCGAAGACCAGCCCGTTCTCCCCGTGTTTCACAAGCTCGTGTAAGCTGCAGAGAGAATGGCGGGGGGTGTGAGAGCTCTAGGGAGGAGAACAGAACCCACCCCACCCACGGGCTAAGCCGGGGGTCAGGAACAGTCTGTCCTTCCCTTCAGGGAGCCTGTCCTTAGACTCCAGCGTCTGAACTGAAAAACGACCTGGAAGGATACGTGTTAAGAAGTCACACTGATCTGGGGAAGGAGAGGCAGTGAAGGGGCATCTGGGCTTTTTGTGCTGTGTGTGCTCTTCTTGGTGAGTTCTGTTTTTTTTTTTTTTTCTTAATTCCATAACAGAGAAATCAGGTAAAAGGCAACCACACTGGAGGCAGGCTCAGAACTGATCAGGGGCTGATCCCAACATGATGTGAACCCAGAGCCTAACATCCTGGCTTTCCCATTTAGAAGCTGGCCCCTCCGCTCATGGTGGGGCCACTGCACCTAAACCTCTTCTAACACTACCCTCTCCTGCCCATCTTTTCCAAGAAGAGCAGAGACAGAAATAGACACATTCAACTGACTCGAACCCAACTCCATGAGCTGAGACAAAAGGGACAGAGAGAGAAATAAGTCCCTGTGAGTCGGGCGGGCAATTCCGACTACGATGCCACACCCCCAAAGAGTATCTGATTCATCATTTTTACTCAACATCAAAGTGGAAGCTACTCCCTTTGGTGGGGCACAGCCCACCCACAGGGACCACAGGGGCTCCTGTTCCCCTGGGGTGGCTGAGCTGCACAGATCAGAAGCGGCACCCTCCCAGGAGGTTTCCCGGCAATTCTAACCACGCTGTTCCCTGCCACCCCTGCCACCCCGCCAGCTGCCGATTTGAGAATATAACCCCGGGGAACTGGGGTTTTCGCTCCTACCACTGGAAGTTCACGGCACACACGGGCAGGCAGCATCCAAACATGTCCACCACCTTCATGGGCAGGTCCAGGCCGCTGGAGGACCGGTGCAGGCAGACGCCCAGGTCTGCAGACCCTGCAGGGTGAGGGTGAGGGCGAGGGCGAGGTCAGCGCCGGCTGCACGCCCGGTGACCACGCAGCCACAGGGCCGTGTACTGAGGCCTGCGGGGAGGAGAGGAAACGGGCCAATCATGCCCCCAACCCCGCGTCCGGATGCCTGGAGCCGACCGAGTGGCCTGGCCTGAGGCAGGGACACAGGGGTGCTTCCCACCTGCTGCTCCTGTCTGCTCTGCCCTTTCTGAGAACTCCAGGCCCGTCACCAACGTTTTTATATAAACGGACCCTCGTTTCCTCCTTAACCATAATTTGGTTTAGAAGCTGCAGCAATCATTGCTTACTGAGTTCAGAGTTTCTGCTCGGGGAGATGAAAATGTTTTGGTAAGACCCAGTGGCAGTGACCATAAGAGACCGTGAACGTGATTAGTGCCAGTGAACTGCACACCATTAAAAAGTGGGAAAATGGCATGTTTTTGTTTGTATTTTATCACAATAATTACAGAAAGAACCCAAGGCAGACCCAACAGAAAAACAGCTCTCACTGTGTAGGCAGAACCAAGGATGCACCCTCGTATCACCCAGCACCCTGGGAGCTGCTGCCTGCAGGGGGACATCCCGCCCGAGATGATTACTTAGATGCTGCGATCGATCAGCACTGAGCCAACAAGCTCTCCCCGAGGGGTCAAGACAGCAAGAGGCGGGTGGCTGTCCTCACTGGCTAAGTCCGCACTGTTGTGTCTGCACCTCCCTGACTTGGGAAGTGGCCCTAACCCAGCCCAGCCCAGCCCAGCCCTTCTGCCCATGGGAACAGCAGGACTGAGCTGGGTCGCGTGGAGCCCCAGAGCACTCAGACGGGACCTTGGCAAACAGACAGGGAAGAGCAGGCGCACCAGGAAACTGCCTTGTCTCCAGGAGTCCAGCCAGGACCCATCCCAGCCTGAGGCCTGCGTGTGGAGGGCCCCTAAGCAGAGAATGGCTTTAAATCTTTAAAGAGTTATAAAAACAGGGAATATGCAAAAGAAGCTGGTAAAACGTTTACCATCTGGCCCTTTTCAGAAAAACTGTCCCCTGCCCTCGGACTGGGAGAAGGAAATGGCAACCCACTCCAGTGTTCTTGCCTGGAGAATCCTGTGGACAGAGGAGCCTGGTGGGCTGCCGTCTATGGGGTCGCACAGAGTCGGACACGACTGAAGCAGCAGCAGCAGCAGCAGCAGCCTTCAGGTTGTTTGTTGCTGTTTAGTTGCCAAGTCGGGTCTCTTTTGTGATCCCATGGACTGCAGCCCGCCAGGCTCCTCTGGGAATGTCCATGCATTTCCCAGGCAAGAATACTGGAATGGGTGTCCGTTTCCTTCTCTAGGGGATCTTCCCAGATCAGGGATCAAACCTCTGTCTCCTGCATTGGCAGGCAGGTTCTTTACCACTGAGCCCCCAGGAGGCCCGCTGCTCTCGGGTATTCCCCTGTAAAGCCCTCCCTTCTCCTGCAGGCCTCCCACCAGACACTCTTACCCAGAAGCAAGGGGTAGTCCTCAGCCTCCAGCCACGGGGTGCAGACCTGGATATGCTGGAAGCGCTTCTGACAGATGAGGCGGCTGTAATAGTTCTTCAGAGGCCCTTTGCCTGGCGGGAGAGATGCAGTCACCCACCGGGCGCCCCTCCACCCCGGCCCACGGCCTGGGAAGCCCCCGCGAGGGCGTGAGAAGGCGGCCCACTCGGCAGCTCCCCATCAGGCCCCCAGCCAGGCGCCCTCCAGAAACACCCCCCCCGGGGATGTGCACCCTGACCGCTAACACCACGGCCCTTACCCCAGCAACCTGTGCCCAGGGGACCTCAGGTTGGGAATGTGTCTGGGACAAACTCTGGCCAGTCATCAGAGTTTGTCACCGGGACAGCTTCTCACACAGGCTGCCCCATGCCCTACCTAGGACCCCCAGGACCCCCAGGCAGCACAGCCTGAGCAGTGGGCCCCTGCCACCCCTGGGGGTCCAGGGGGCCAGGAGGAGAGGGGTGTCCAAGGCAGGGCTGCTGGCCCAGGGCCACCTCCTCCAACCAAACCTCCTCTGCTTCTCTCTCTGCACTGCAAACAGGTTTACACTGGACAGTGGACGCTCGTTTAAAAATGAAATCAAAAGAGGGTTTCCCTAGTGTCTCAGTGGTAAAGAATCCGCCTGCCAACGCAGGAGACATGGGTTAGAGCTCCGATCCAGGAAGATCCCACATGCTGTGTAGCTACTAAGCCCGTGGGCCACAGCTACTGAGCTTGTGCCCTAGGGCCCGGGGGCCGAACTACTCAGCCCTCACATTGCAGCTGCTGAAGCCCACACGCCCTAGAGCCCGCGCTCTGCAATGAGAGAAGCTGCCACGACGAGAAGCCCGCACACCGCAGCTGCAGAGCGGCCCCCGCCCCCGCCACCAGAGAAAAGTCTGCACAGCAACGCAGACCCACCAGAGCCAAAAAAAAAAGAATTATTTTTTAAGAGAAGAGGCTCGAAAACCACTGTGCAACGGAAAAGCTCAGTATCTCTGAGGTCGCCTGATCTGAGGTTTGAATCTAGACTCTGTGCCCTGCCGTGAAGACCCTGTGATCCTCAGCCTGCCCCTCTGTTAAGCTGGCAGAGAGAAACACGCATCGGAGAGTTAGGGTAAGGATCAACGAGACAGCAAACATCACAGGCCTGACGTGGGGAGGGCCTTCTGTCCCCTCTAGCACCCCATCTAATACAGAACAGGGGTGCTCCCAGGTGGGTACCTGTTATGACACAAACCAGAGAAGGCAGGCTTTCCCCACTGTCGATCAACTGTTCAAATTCTGCATTTAAAAAAAAATAAATACATGAAATCAAAATCAGGTATTCAGGTGAGTAAGGGGCTAATGGGAGGGGTGGAGGGCAGGGCACTGCTCCCAGCCACACAATCCTGGAGGGGATGCTTCAAGTCCAGGCGGGTCACTCACTGACCCAAATAGGGACTCGGGCCCGCCACCACCCTGTGTCCTCAGGCTGGCCCACCCAGTGGCCCTGGAACACTCTGCCGAGGGCACCACGCAAAACCAAGAAAGCATCCCGCAGCTGAGGACACCCCGGCAAGCCCAGCTCCTGACCACAGCCACACACCTACTTTCTAGTGCCACCAGCAAGATGGAGAAGTCTTCGTCCTCTACGAGAAAAGAGAACTGAGTGTCATGAGTTGGTTTCTGGTGCTTCCCACCCAGCTCAGTGCGCTCCCCTTTCTCATCGGGTCCCTGAATACGTAGGGGCGCAGGACTAATGCTCGTAGGAGCCCCACATGCCCAGGAGGGTCCTGAGACCTGTCCAGCTCGTGCTGCTGACCAACAGGGCCGGCCGCCCGCAGAGACGGGTCACCGCTCCACTCAAGGCATCCCGCTCCGTGAAGGCCGACCGCTCCGTGCCTGGGTCCGAGGATTCTGAGCTGAAGGAGCAGACAGAGCCCGTGAGCTGCCACAGAGCAGGCTCTCAGACCCCAGGACAGCCATCTCCCGCCAGCGAGGCCCGCAAGCAGCGGTCGGGGTACAGCCACTTCTGAGTCACCAGGTGGCCCGACCACCCAGGGCCTGGGCGCCGACCTGCACCTGCTTTCTCTCTTTATCCCTTTTACTTATGTGTCACCAGGTGCTGAGCCCACAACAGCAGACAAGACCGACTCAGCCCTGCCTTCAGGGGGCTTACTGTTCTAATCACCCCCTCGACTTAAGACGAGGGTGCTGTGACCCCCTCTAACGCCCCCTAGGTTACTGAACAAAGACCAGGTGTGCGGAGGGCTGCTCAGAGAGGCTCTCCTCACCCCCCAGGAGGTGCCCAGAGAACACACACACAGGTGCACAGACCCTGCCACAGGGTCAGGAACCCCGGCAGGAGGATAAGGACACCCACAGCCTAGTGCGGGGCAAACACCTCCTTAAAGGGCCAAGGAGTAGACCCTGTAAGCTTTGGGGGCCACGTGGTCTCTGTTGCCAAGCTCAGCTCTGCTCTTGCAGTGCGGAACCAGTCACGCACAATATGTAAATGAATGCACGCATTGCATTCCAATAAAACTTTATTTATAAAAATAAACAGAGCAGGCCTGCAGTCATAGTTTGCCAACCCCTGGTCTGATGGATCCCCAAGTCAGTAGCAAACATAAAACAAGGCACCTGAAAGCTGAAGACAACAGACTTACCGGGCCCTGAACACAGGGTAGGTCCGGCTCAGCTTCATAAAGAGCTGATGCTGCAGGTCCAAGGGCGTCTCTTTAAAGAAAGATGCTGGCCTGTCGTACACAGTCACGGCTCTGCAATGAGATCATTGGGGTGGCTCTGCTGCTGCTGCTAAGTCGCTTCAGTCGTGTCCGACTCTGTGAAACCCCATAGATGGCAGCCCACCAGGCTCCCCTGTCCCTGGGGTTTTCCAGGCGAGAGTACTGGAGTGGGTTGCCATTGCCTTCTCCGTAGGGTGGCTCTAGGGAGGGGCAAAGAAAGGCCTAAAGAAAATAAAACCCAGAAGGATCCAGAAGAAGGGTGCTTGGAGATCCAAGTCTCAACAGTAAACCTCAGAATGACTTGGAAAGGGAGTCCTCCGGCGGTCCAGTGGTTAGGGCTCTGCATTTTCAACACAGGGACCCTGCGTTCAATCCCTGGTTGGGGAACTAACATCCCACCTGCCACATGGTGTGACCAGACAAAACAAAAAACCCAAGGTTTAAAAAAACCCAATTAAAAAAGAATTACTTAGGAGAAGCACAGAGAGAAGGTTCAACACCAAAACTGCCTGGACCGTCTGGCTGGCTGGCAAAAATAACTCCAGCCTCCTCCCTGCTCAGCTCCCCCAAACCAGCAACCACTCCCCGGACCCCCGGGAACTCCCAACGCCTTGCCAGCAGGACACAGCAGCTGGGAGTCACGGTGCTGGGAGGGACCCCTACTTGATGCCCCAGTTCTCAGCCAGGTCGTCCTGCATCGCGTTGGTCACACACAGGTTCAGGTGGGACAGGCGTCCACAAAGCTTCTCGTACCTGAAGAGAAGTATCAGTGTTCAACCTGGAGCCCTGGGCCAAGCACCACCACCAGCTGCAGGTCTCGAAACCTTCTGATATCGAAGAGGCTCCAGAGCTGGGGTCTCTCAAATCAGGTCACTGGCAAGGTGCCTTCCCAGCGTTCGCACTGAGTTCCACCACCTATACTATTATTTCCTTCACATCTTTCTTTAAATCAGATTGCTTTTCAGCTTAAACACAATTAATTTCGAGGGAAATCATATTATCACTATGGAAGGGAAAATCCAGTCTCTCCTGCCATAAAACGAAGGAGAAATACAATAAAGGCCTCATCATTAAATCTCAGCCACACTGCACTGTTCCCTGCAAAGGCTGTGGGGCTGAGGCTCACTCCGACTGTGTCACAAAGGGAGCTGAGCAAATGTTGCACGTGCAGCGTGCTAAGTCACTTCAGTCCTGTCTGACTCTTCGCGATGCTATGGACTGTAGCCCACCAGGCTCCTCTGTCCATGGAGATTCTCCAGTCAAGAATACTGGAATGGGTTGCCATGCCCTCCTTCAGGGAATCTTCCCAACCCACGGATCAAACCCACGTCTCTTAGGTCTCCTGCGTTGGCAGGCGGGTTCTTTACCACTAGTGCCACCTGGGAAGCCCTAGCAAGTGTTAGAAAGGCGTTATCAACAGATTAGTGCCACACTGAGACATAAGCTCTAGTGACCAGCAAGAACTGAAAAAGAACTGGAAACGAGCAGGGTTGTTGAATGTGTGTGTGAACCGAGGCCTGGTCCTCACTCAGGATGCAGGGAAAGCTCCAGAGGAGGTCCTTCCCAGGCACGGAAGGCTGGCACTCACACTTATCAGCTGTGTGGCATGTGACATATGGGCCCCCGGCCCCAGTGTCCTGGTTTGTAAAAGAGCAGTCACAGGACGCCCTCCCTGGGCGGCAGTGCAGTCTGGAGGGGCTGAGGCCGGGCATGTAGCCAGTGCACCGACAGCCGCCGTGACTTCCACCCACGAGTGACCCACCAGGGGAAAGACCGCAGCCAGCCGATGGCTCAAGGCTGCAAGTTCGTGCCAAGGCAGGCGGTAGAACTCGGGCTCAGAACCTGTCACTGGCTCTCTCAGCCATCCTGGACCCTGTGGAAGCCTGCTGGGAACAGGACTTCTAAAGTGACCAGTATGTCTGGCAGGTTGTGGTGGTCCAAGGTCATTTTTGCAGGCCGTAAGCGGGGTCTACAGAACCAGAGGGAGCACACAGCTCTCCCAAAAACTGAAGGTGTATGTGCTTGAGATGAAGCTGAATTCTATCCAGGCAAGAGATGTGCTTGTGTGTATAAAGCAAAGAACAAGTGACGCTAGCGGAGAACCTCACAAAACCAGAGTAATCTGAGGAAAGACATGGTTTTTGTTTCATGCTCATGGAAACATGAGTGGCATTGTTTCTGCCAAATTCTGAAGCAACCTTCCTGCTAAGAACACTGGACACAGAATCTGTGTGACACTGTACCCTTCAAGGATTTAAACTTATTGAAAAGTAAATAAATAAAAGTGTGGATTTGTTAAAGAAAAGAACATGGCACTGCTTCCTCCTGCAAGCACAACCTGCTCCCGAGGCCCTTCTTCCCTCCCCCCAGCTCAGAGACTGTGGCCCACACCCCCAGCTGTCAACAGCAGCCCCCACTTTGCATCTGGGGATCTGGTCTGTGTGCACCAGGGACCCCAGCTCTCTGGCTGAGCACTTGTCCCGAGCCTGAGACAACAGGGTCCTGAAGCGTCCCAGGCTCAGTGGGGGTCAGAGGACAGCAGGTGAGCAGGAGTCAGGCTTGCTCTCCCCATAGAGTTGGATGGGATGCGGATGGGAGCAAGGGGCTCCCAGAACCTGAGAAATACCTCCAGAAGGAAGTGTGGAAAGAGAGAGATGAGCAGGGTCCTGATGACTCCCTTTATGTGCTCAAAGTCCATCTCTCAAGACTTCTCAGTTTCATGGGCCAACAAACGCCCTCCTTTACTCAGGCCTGTTTTTATCACTGGTTATGAGCATCACCCCAATACCCCAGCCTTGCCCTCGCCCCTACAGGGCACACAGGGGACCAGCTTCCCCAGGTCTCTGCACTGTCCCTTCTTCCCACTGCAGTTTGGGGTCAGTGTCTGCGCCCTCCTTCCAGACCCTCACCACTTGGCCAGCAGAACGAGGGGGTGGCTGGGGCCATGCACCAGACCCATAATGGAGTAGCCGTAGTTGTGCCAGTCGACGACAAGCTTGCTCCCGCAGAGGCAGCCCGCGAACCAGCAGACAGCAATGGCGGGCAGGCCCGGAGGGTTCTGGGAAAGAGAGACTTGAATGAAAAGGAGGAACCAGACCATGGCTGAGAATAAACCAAGTGAAAATAACGTACATGGCAAAGAGTCAATTATGTTTACAGAACTCTTGAAAATCAATAAGAGAAGACTCACTTCTTCACCAAAAAGTATAAAAAGTCATAAAAAAGAAAGCTGATCAGATAGGTGTCCATGATGGTCCAGTGGCCAAGACTACATTCCCAGTGGAGGTAGGCTTGGTTGAATCCCTGGTCATGGAACTAGATCCTACATGCCACAACTAAGGCTCAGCACAGCCAAATAAATATTTTAAAAGAAAGAAAGAAAAGAAAATTTATCAACATAAAAAGTACAAGAGCACTGATACCCAAGGAGATGAAAAATGGAACAAGGAGATATCATTTTTCACCTGTCACAATGGAAACTCATAACACTTATGATAGCTGGTGGTGGTGAAGATGAGGGGGGAAAGGTCTCTCTGTTGGGTGGGGGATAAAATGACCAAAACTTACTCTAGGACCATCCAGTAATCACATTTTAAAGTATATGGACTCTGACCAAACACTTCCCTTACTAGGAATTTATCCTAAAAGAGAAACTGGACCCATGAAAAAGACATATGTTCACTGAAGCTCTTAGCCACTTTGCCAGATATATTTTAAAAAAAAAAATACAGGAAGAATCTGAGTGTTCATTAAGATGATACTAAATAAATACAACAGGGTATATATCACATTGGGATATGATACAGTCAATTAAGAGAAGAAACTTTTCTGTTAAAAAGCAGTGACAGTAAGAGGCTAAGACCATAACTTCAGAACTAGAATGAAGACCTAGTTCAAATCACTCCAGCACTTCCCAGTTGTGTGACAATCTGTCCTCTCTGGGTTCAGGTTTTTTCATCTCTATGTGTACGTAACACAAGAACCTATTTCTTATGATTGTTGTGAGGAATTAAATGAGATAATGCATGTAAAACATTTAGATATGTAATATGTAACTATCTGCAATGACATTGAAAAACAGAAAGGATGGGTATCATAAAGAGGATGGACACAGACCACAGGCTCCTACTCAAGTGTTTAAAAGTTTACATACACACACATGAATATGCAATTCATTTACCAGTTTGTACATTTTTAAAAGACTAGAAAGTAAAGAAAACTATCAACACTGGTTCTCACAGTGGCAGGCGGGGCTGACACATACCTGGAGAAAGATGTAGGCTGCTGGCTCCGTGCACATCAACTTCCACAGCAGGTGCACTGCCTGGAATACAACTTTGACTCCATACTGGAGAATGTGGGGCCCAACTGCAAGACAGAAAACAGCTGTCACTAATAAAGGCTGTTGGTGTTTAGTCGATAAGTCGTGTTTGACTCTTTGTGACGCCAGGGACTGTAGCCCAGGGGTTTCCCAGGCAAGAATACTGGAATGGGTTGCCATTTTCTTCTCCATGGGATCTTCCCCAACCAGGGACTGAATCCGCATCTCCTGCCGTACCAGGCAGATTCTCTACCAGTGAGACACCTGGGAAGCCCTACTAGTAAAGGAGTTCTTGGTAATTTGCAGATTCCCCGCCCCCCCACCAAAACACACACACACACAGAATCTAGAATTGAGTGCTTCCTACCTGCAAGTCTCTGAAGGTCTGTCAGACTCACAATCTGAATTCTGTCGCTCTGTAAGAGTTCATCGTGGGGTTTGGAGTCTGAAAAGAATGTCCTCTTTAATGTGCGGGACAAGACAACCTAATTTAAAGTCTGATGATCCTGCCCCACACCTCACCCCCTCCCCAGTCTGAATAAGGAAGAGCGTTTTGAAAAGTAAGACTTTCCCAAACCTCTCTGTTCCTCCGTAGCTAAAACAGAGAATGAGGCCAGTTCTTGTCCAGACTTCTCTAGACCAACCACAGGAGGAGAGTCGGAATCTTATCCACTTTCAACTTAACACAATGCCAGGCACACAACAGGCACTCAAGCTGACCTCGGTTTCCAGGATGATGGAATTATCACATCACAGGGAGACCTCTAGGAAGTTCCACTCCCGCCCCTCACCCTGGGGTAGCAGACTCTAAACAAGGACCTGAGGCAACCAGTGCTATTCCTGCTTTCCCCTGATATGGGGTATGTTTAGAGATACCTTCTGAAAATGTCAACGTGGGGGAAGATGGAGGAGCATACACCTCTGCCTCCTCACACTAAGGGGAAAAGCTCAACATGCTGAGAAAATGAAACATCTCCTAACTGCAGAGCTCTGCAATGAGGGTGAGGAATGAGATAAGTTGCCGGTCGGCTCAGACACAGCCTCAGAGATGTGCTTACCAACACTGGCCCTGGGGTCACACCCATCTGGGTTCCAGTCCCATCTTTGCACTTACTAGGAGGAATAAGTAAGACTATGCACTGAGTCATCTAGCTTAGCACAGTCCTGGCATATGGCAGGCGCTCGGTTAATGCTGACTGTTCCTAGGTCTCTAGCAACATCCAGGCTGGGGTGGGGGTGCAGAAACCCGGCAACAGCTGTCCGGGCCGTAACAGTCTCGGAGGGCTGCCCGAGGGAGGAGAGAGAGAAAGCGGGCGCCCCCGCCGCGGCCCGCCCCCTGGGGTGGTCAAAGCCGAGGGTCAGGAGCTGACAGAGCAGCCTCCCTCCCGGAGCCCTGGGCACTCACTGCAGAACCCCAAGAGGGTCACGGAGAAGCCGCTCTTGGCCAGTGACAACGCGTGGTACTGCATGCGGGGGCTGCGGCCCACGTCGCCCAGCACCACGACAATAACGTGGCGGGCCGCGCGCCCCCACCGCCAGTGCTTCCACGCCACCAGCAGCAGCAGCAGCAGGCACACCGACAGGGCCAGGAGCGCCACGTAGGAGGCCGCCATCTTGGCGGGTCGGCGCCCGTCACGTGACCGCGCTCCCGCTGGCCCGGCGTGCAGTGCGCAGCCGCAGACCGAGCCTCCGAGGTGGGCGGAGACAAAAGGGGCGTAAACCTGGTTCCCTAAACCCGGGCCCGCGGAACCTCCGAGGAGCCCCGGGAGCCAAGCTTTGGTGGTGTTAGGGTAAAGCTGTTATTATGTAGGGAGCTAGGAACATTTTTTCTTTCTTCAAATTTCTAAGATAATTTACAGTATAGTGAAATAACAGTTCGTTTGAACCTTGTATAATGTTAAGAAAAGGGGCAAGATGCCAGAATGCATAGCAGCTGGTTCTATCATATAAAAATCAAAACGACTCTTTACTGTATGAAGTCAGGGGGTGATCTGCTTTGGAGGATCGGGGAGTGAGTTGGGGTGGTGGCAGTTGGGAGCTGGTGGGGAGGCATGTCGTAGTTGGTTTCTCGATCTGAGTGCTTGTAAGGTGAGTGTGGTCCATTTGGGAAAATTCGTCAAGCAGCAAGCTTACTCATTTTTCAGGATGTACGTTGTACTTGAGGTGGCACTCGTGGTAAAGAGCCTGCCTGCCAATGCAGGGGTCTTTAGAGATGCAGATCCTATCTCTGGGTCGGGAAGATTCCCTAGAGGACTGCAAGGCAACCCACTCCAGTATTCTTGCCTGGAGAATCCCATAGACAGAGGAGCCTGGTGGGCCACAGTCCATAGGGTCACAAAGAGTCGGACACTACTGAAATGGCAGCACAGCACATGTTGTAGGGAAGTCCCTGGAGGTCCAGTGATTGGGACTTCGCCCTTTCGCTGCTGAGAGCTGAGGGTTCAATCCCTGGTGGGGGAACTAAGATTCCACAAGCAGCATAGCATATCCAAAAAAATAAGAAGAAGAAAAATAAATATATAGAGAGAAAAAGGACAAGGAAGGAAAAAAAAACATAATGATGTTAAGTATCCATTGAAACGACCCTGATGCTGGGAGGGATTGGGGGCAGGAGGAGAAGGGGATGACAGAGGATGAGATGGTTGGATGGCATCACCAACTCAATGGACATGAATTTGAGTAAACTCTGGGAGTTGGTGATGGATAGGGAGGCCTGGCGTGCTGCAGTTCATCCGGTTGCAAAGAGTTGGACACAATTGAGCAACAGAACTGATCCATTGTAACACGGGAAAGTTTCACTAACCCTCCTGTCTCACCTCCCAAGGTAACCACACTAAAGAGTTTTGTGTGGGTCTCTGTGACAGCGTTTTGACTTTAAAAGGGGTCCCCTTGAAGTCACCCCACTGCCCTCACCTTGGGAGCTGCCCCAGAACGCCCAGAGTCAGGCACAGGGACCATCTGTTCCAGGCGCCCCACCCACCCACCCACTCACGTGTTGGACAAAAAATCAACACTGCACCTCCTCCCTCAATGAAAACCCAGACAGAGCAGCGCCAGGGACCCTAGAACCCAGCTCAGGACGTGGCACGTAGCTCATTTGCTTCTCCCGATAGCTCTGTGACTCCTGAAGGTCACACCCTTAGTGAGTGTGTGGCTGAGGCAGGGCTTGAAACCCGAGCAGAAGAGGGTGAGGAAGGAGGAGTAAATCTGTGTAGATGGAGGGATGGGCTGTCTGCAGGCAGCCTCAACCCCCCAGTTTCCAGGGAGGCCCCACCTTCCGTTGTCTTGCTGGGGTCATGAGACCAGAACACGGACCCCGCCCCTCCAGGCACCGTCTGTGGTGGGACCGGGCTGGGATCCCGAGACCCCCGCCTCAGGGGCTCCTTGATCTTGAGCACATCCCTCTCTGTCAGCTGGCTTTCCCGACCTGTGAACTCAGGGAGGGGACTTCACATCTGAGAGGCCCCCTCTTGTTCTGATGATCTAAGAGGTTAAGGACCAGGCACCCCAGTTGTGACAAACCAGGAGCAAATGCCTTGTCCTGGAAGATGAAACCCCCCATTGGGGAAGGCGTTGGGATCGTTTCTCTAGGGAGAGAGGAACAAGATGCCACACCAGCCAAGCCTGCTTGTCCTGCTTGCCCACTTGGCCGACATGACACGTGAAATTCAATCCTTCCGTAGATCAAGAGAGTGTTGTTTCCCTTCCAGATACCAAGGCTGGACCCTGGCGAGATTTCCCAGTGGTTACAGGGACTCCAGCGTGAACCCCTGTCTGTGCCCTAGCTGTGAGACAGTGGGTCGTAATAAGTCATTTACCCCCCCAGAGCCTCAGACTTTATGGTATAAAAGAGGACAAGAATAACACCCATGTCAGGAGTTTGTTGTAAGGATTAACAGGTGATGATGGTGACAAGCTTCTGCTGGAATAGTTGTGCTCAATGGCACACCCAAGGGAGGAAATACTGGTTCTTGAGGAATAAAGAAACACTTATGCTTTTTTTTTAAGCTTTTTCTGCATGAAGCACAGATACCAAGACCTCGCTGATGGTCCAGTGGCTAAGACTCTGTGTTCCCAATGAAGGGGGCCTGGGTTCGATCCCTGGTCAGAGAACTAGAGCCCATGTGCCAAAACTAAGACCTGGAACAGCCAAAGAAGTCAACAAATATGTGATGTGTGCGTTCTCAGTGGCTCTGTTATGTCTGACTCTTTGTGACCCCATGGACTGCAGCACTATCCTTCCCTGTCCTTCACTATCTCCCAGAGTTTGCTCAAACTCATGTCCATTGAGTCAATGATGCCATCTAACCATCTCATCCTCTGTCACCCTCTTCTCCTCCTGCCTTCAGTCTTTCCCAGCATCAGAATCTTTTCCAATGAGTCAGTTCTTCACATCAGGTGGCCAAAGTATTGGAGCTTCAGCTTCTGCATCAGTCCTTCCGATAAATATTCAGGGTTGATTTCCTTTAGGATTGACTGGTTTGATCTCCTTGCAGTCCAAAGAACTCTCAAGAGTCTTCTTCAACATCACAGTTGGAAAGCATCAATTCTTCAGCACTCAGCTTTCTTTATGGTCCAACTCTCACATCTGTACATGACTACCAGGAAAACCATAGCTTTGACTACATTCATCACTTTGTCAGCAAAGTGATGTCTCTGCTTTTTAATACACTGTCTAGGTTTGTCAGGGATTCTTAGGTGGCACTAGTGTTAAAGAACCTGACTGCCAATGCAGAAGATGTAAAAGACCTGGGTTCCATCCCTGGGTGGGGAAGATCTTCTGAAGAAGAAAATGGCAAATACCCCAGTATTCTTCCCTGGAAAATCCCATGTAGCCTGGCAGGCTACAGTCCACGGGGTTGCAAAGAATTGGCTTTCCTTCCAAAGGGGCAAACATCTTTTCATTTCAAACTTATTTCAAACAAAGCAAAATAAAGCCAAACCAACTTTGCAGTTGCTTGATCAGAGATGTAACCTGTGGACCTGGAGAGTCAGGGGTGAGAAGGAAAGGATGGCCCCTCTCCCCAGCCTGCAGCCAGCTGGCTCCATGTGCAAGGCTGGCTGGCCTGACTGTGAGGCTCCGACCCCTGCCTCCCCCACCCCACCCCACCCGACCCCCATCCCCGCAATCTGTCCCTGGCAGCTGCCCTTTCCAAACCCTCTGCCCAGGCCATTCCAGGCTGCAGGATCAGCCCCACCTGGCCACTCCTCTACCTCTCTGCGGGCGGAGGGGGAGGAGGTGGGAGGCGGGCACATGGGGCGGGCTGGCCCGGGGCTGAGGCGCTCCAGCAGTCTGTCTCAGAAGACCAGCCATGTCCAGCCCAGGGCTCCCCCTCCTGCTCTTGCTGCTGGCGGCCCCGCCACTGCAGCCCTCCTGGCTGCCACCGCCAGAAACCCCGGAGGGCAAGGCCACCATCACGGGCTTCATCCTCTCCTCTCTGGACAGAGCCACGTCCTTCCTGAAGAAGAGGCTGCCCGAAATCAACCTGGACGGTGTGGTGGGGTTCCGGATGCTAGAAGGTGGGTGCGCTCTGGTTGCCCTGGACTGGCCACCGAGAAGGCAGTTCTCAGCCTGTCACCTGCCCGCTCTGCACCCCGGGACCAGCCCACCTTCTGGTCCCCAAATATGATGCTCTGACTAACGAAAGAGGGGCAGAGGGCGGCTGGCCCCTTTTAGGGTGTCTAGAGACCCTCTGTGATCAATTAGTCTTTTTTTTTTTTTTAGAAGCAGGAAGGATTCAGAGGCCACTCAAGAAAAGATTTGGAAATTATTATTTTCCAGGGAGGAAATGATTCATTTGTCAATCCCTCCCTCCTGACTTGCCAGGGCTTCCCGATGGCTCATCAGGTAAAGAACCCACCTGCCAATGCAGGAGACACAGGAGACATGGGTTTGATCCCTGAGTCGGGAAGATCCCCTAGAGTAGGAAGTGGCCACCCACTCCAGTATTCTTGCCTGGAGAATCCTGTAGACATAGGACTCTGGCAGGCTACAGTATTTGGGGTCACAACTGGGCTATTAAGCACACCCCCTCCAGACATGCTAGGACAGAGGCTAGCAGAGAGAGTGTGCCCATGAGTGTGCCCGCCCTGGCTCCCCCTACATCCAGCCAGAGCCGCCTGAAGGCTCCGAGAAAAGAGCCAAGTGTTTATTCAGCTTTGAAGGATATAAGATCTCCGAGGAGGGGGTTGGAGATAGGCCAAGGCAAACAGGTAGCCACCCCCCACACTCACCGAGGGTTTCAGGGAGCCCCTCCCTGACCTCAGCAACAAATCCCAGGCTCTGGCTGGCCCCACTCCTGTGTCACCCCATCTGTGTTGCCACAACAACTTTTCACACACCAAGACTCCAGATCCCAGCAGGAGGTGGGGCTCTGGGACCTTCTGCACTGTGTCCTTGTGGCCTCACTGCCTCTGGCTTCCTTATGTCCTCCCCACGCCCCTGACCCCCACCCCCAGGCTGCATCCTGGAGACCCTCACGACCCTGGTCCCCTCCCCTCCAGGCCAGGATCAGGGTGCGGGTCTCCTTCATGTAACCCTCGTCCCGTCTTATAACTCCTCTTTGTTGTTGTTTAGTCACTAAGTCCTGTCTGACTCTTTGTGACCCTATGAACTGCAGCCCACCAGTCTCCTCTATCCATGGAGTTTCCCAAGCAAAAGTACTGGAATGGGTTGCCATTTCCTTCTCCAGGGGATTTTCCCAACCCAGGGATCAAACCTGCATCTCTGGTGTCCCCTGCATTGGCATGCATGCGTCCTAAGTCACGTCAGTCGTGTCCAACTCTTTGCAGCCCTATGGACTGTAGCCCACCAGGCTCCTCTGTCCATGGGATTCTCCAGGCAGGAATCCTGGAATGGGTAGCCATTTCCTACTACAGGGGATGTTCCCAACCCAGGGATCGAACCTGCATCTCCTGCATTGGCAGGTGGATTCTTTACCTCTAGCACCACCTGGGAAGCCCTGCAGTAACCTATTGCTGCACAAACTGCCCCAGGATCTGGCTGCTTGAAACAACAATTATCTCCTGGCTTCTGTTCGTCGGGAATCCAGGAGCAGTCTGGCTGGGAGGGTCTGACTCAGGGTCTCGCGTGACGTTCCCGTCCAGATGGTGGCCAGCACTGTGATCATCTGAGGCTTCCCTCGTGCTGGCAGAGCTGCCCCATTCACCCACAGGCCTGGTGGGTTGGCGCTGGCTGGCGGCTGGAGGCCCCTGTTCCCCACCACGTGGGTTCTTCCAGGGACTGCTTGAGCATCCTCATAGCTCAACAGCCGCGTCACCCAGAGCAAGTGGCCCAAGAGAGAGCTGGGCAGAAGCCTTGGTGTTTCTTACAACCTAATGTTGGAAGTCACAGGGGCTCCCCAGGTGGCTCAGTGGTAAAGAATCCACCTGCCAATGCAGGAGATGCAAGAGATGCAGGTTTGATCCCTGGGTCTGGAAGATCCCCTGGAGGAGGGCATGGCAACCCACTCCAGTATTCTTGCCTGGAGAATCCTATGACAGAGGAGCCTGAGCAACTGAGCACACACTTGGAAGTCGCATGTCGCCATTTCCCCAGTTTTGTGTTGGTTTCACAGATTGGCCCCATCCCAAGCGGGAGGAGGCTGAAAGGATGGGAAAATGAGCTGGCTACCACAGCCCTCCTTCTAAGGATCCTGCCTGCATTCTCAACCTTCCTAGGAGAGAGGGGCGGGGGTTCACATTCTGGGAGGGGTCCAGTAAGAAGAGATTGCCTATCGATCTCCCGGGTCCTCTCTGCTTGGGGCTGGACAGGCAGACACTGACCTAAGAGAGCAAAGGGTCCCTCCAGCTGCTTCCAGCTGCCTCAAGGGGGTTCCAGAATGTGGCAGCAGCTGCCACACATGCAGGGAGAAACAGGAGCAAGCCCAGGGACCTAGGATCACCATGAGGTCAGGTTGGGCTCACCTGGTCTCTTTGATGATCAGCAACCCTCCTGGGACCCTCCATCCACAGGTTCAGCCAAACAATCTAGAACAAGGCTTCAGAACTAGACTGCCTGGTTCCAGTTCAGACAGGGAGCGGAGTCAGGGGAGCGGTGTTAGAGAGCCCATCATCCTGCAAGACTTGCTCAGCACCCTCCTCAAACCTTGTCCACTCTCCCCCACACAGTGCCCAACCTGACAGCAGCTACCCTACCTCATCTCACTTCTCAGCTCTGCACTGATGCTCCTTCTCACATCTCCTCTCTTTCTGGCTACCCCATGACCTTCTCTTCCAGCCACCCCATCCTCTCCCACCCCTCCTGGGCCACTGCTAGTCCACAGGGCACCTCTGTGAGAATTAGAAAAAGGTACCACCTTTCTGGAGTCACTTGACTGACATCTGCTGGAAAATTGTCTCAAAACATGTACAAACCCATGACAGGAATGTGTGTTTCCCTTGTGCAGTGTACAACCTGCTCAACTGCACACAGCAGCCTTCCACTCTGCAATCTGAGTCTCTCCCTCATTTTTTCCTCCTGGACCACAAAGCCCAAGTCTCTATAACTAATAATAATCACTAAACATTATTAAGTGTTTTCTTTGCACTCTGGACAATGCCAAGTCCTCTATGTGCATTAGGGCTAAGTTGCTTCGGTCATGTCCAACTCTTTGCAACCCCATGGACCTCAGCCCACCAGGCTCCTCTGTCCATGGGATTTTCTAGGCAAGAATGCTAGAGTGTGTTGCCATTTCCTTCTAGAGGGGATCTTCCCAACTCAGGGATCGAACCCGCATTTCTTAACGTCTCCTGCACTGGCATGCAGGTTCTTTACCACTAGTGCCATGCCTTTGCTAATTTAATCTTTATAACCCCATCCTCCAAGAAGTAAGGAATATCACGACTCCCATTTTACAGATGGAGAAAGTGAAGCAGAGAGAAATTAAATGACTTCCTCAGGTCACCCAATGAGAAAGCATTAGAGGCAGGACCTGAACCCTGGCCCCCCTCCAGAAACCAAGCTCTTAGCCACCACCTTCCCTCACTCTGACCACCACTCCCCGCCCTGCCAGTACCCAGCTGAGCTCCCCAGAGGCCTAATTTCCAATAAACTCAGCAAATATTTTTCCCTCAAGAGCTGGAAGAAGCAGAGAGCTCAGTATGCATTATAACTGGGGGTATATTTTCCTGTCCATGTGCTTCGCCCAGTGTTGGGATGAATGAATGCTTCCCCCTTGCAGTGCAGCTCAAAGGCGTTCAGGAGAAGTGGGCACGGGACTCCCAGCTGCAGCCGCTCGGCCTGCGTGTGGGCAAGCTGGTGGAGAAGTTGGCTCCTCTCCTCCATGATTCCATCTTCTACCTCAACCTGAGTGACCCCAAATACCTGAGAGGTAAGAGCATGAGTGGGGTCCCGTTTCTTCAGGAGCAGAGACAGCTTCTGGGGGCGCCCACTGAAACCACCTGCTGTAGCTTCAGTTGGCGCCGGGGAGGGCCTGGGAGGACCTGTAACCAGCTGCCCCCGCGGGTGTTCGGTCACCCTTGACTTCAGCTTGAGACAGCCTCTCCCACCCACGGAGGGCAGGTGGAAGGTAGGGAGCGGCTCTCCCTCACTTTTTCAGCTCATGTCCAGGCTTGGGGGCAAAGGACCATCCCAGACCAGAGGAGAGGGAGGGTCGAGATCTAAAAGGTAATCTGGCCCTTTGCACGGCAAACATTAGCATCTTGCCAGCATCTTTCTTCTAGCCCTAGAATGCAGAGCCTCTGTCTCCTTGTCAGCCTGGAGTCATCCTACCAAGGGGCCCCACCCTATAAGCCCTGGCCTGAGTTGTTCCTGGGTGAGGGCGGTGGCGGGTATAAACCAGCCCTGTGTGGTCCAGCCCTGCCTCCCAGGCTCCCCTCCCAGGTCCATGAGGGTAAGGGGGGAGATAACTGGCCAGACAACATGAGAAATCCCAGCCCTCCCCAGCATCAGCCTGCTTCTCTGTATGTGGGGTGTTCCACCCTCTCCCCTGCAGAAGGAAATGGCAACACACCCCAGTATTCTTGCCTGAGAGATCCCATGGACAGAGGAGCCTGGCTGGCTACAGTCCATGGGTCTCAAAGAGTCAGACACATCTTAGCGACTGAGCGTACACCCTCTCCCAGGCCTGGTCCCTGAGACCATCCCAGCCTGGCTCATCCTGAGGTCGGTTCTGCAGGAGCTCCATGTTCTAACAGAGCCAAGGGAGGCAACTAACCCTGTCTAGATGTCTCAAGCTTCCATGGGGTGTGGTAGATTTACTCAGAGCCTGTCCCAACATAGTTCCTAGTGATTTTTTTTTAATTTTTCAGATAAAGAGCTTTGTGAATATTTCAAATGCAGTACTCAACCCTCAGGCAATGCTCAGAGCCCTGAAGGCACCTGAGTGCAGTTAGGGCTGCCAGGGGAGGGACAGCCAGTTCCTGGGCTCAGAACCACAGGAGCCTGGTGGGTGGTTAACCATGGCATGGCTCACTGCTCCTGTGTCTCCCCCGACTCCCTCTTCTCCAACAGAGTTCCAGCTGACCATCGAACCTGGGTTTTGGAAGCTTCCACGTGCCTGGACCCGCACCGAGGCCTCCATGGTCTACCCCACTTTTGAGCAGGAGGACTCCTTCTCAGAGGAGCTCAGTGACTTGTGCCTGGTGCAGCTGCTGGGAACTGGGTGGGTCCCCTGGACCTGCCTCACTTCCTGAAGACCCCAAAGCGCCTGCCTTCCGCCAGGCCTCCAGTCCCACTTGCTTCCCAAAGCCCCAGTGCTGTGCTGTGCCAAGTCACTTCAGTCGTATCCAACTCTTTGTGACCCTATGGACTGTAGCCTACCAGGCTCCTCTGTCCATGGGATTCTCCAGGCAAAAACACTGGAGTGGATTGCCATACCCTGCTCCAGGGGATCTTCCTGACCCAGGGATCAAACTTGCATCTCTTATGTCTTCTGCAGGTTCTTTACCATTAGCACCACCTGGGAAGCCCCCAAAACCCCAGGGGTTTGGGTAAAACTAGGTGCCAGCTCCCCTGAGAGCTGTTCCTGATCCCACCCCCATGTCTGATTCGGCACCCCCCCCCCGCCTCCATCAAAGGCTTCCGGCCCACTCTAGACACCCACCTCCATGCCCTGCAACCCCCAACTGACTGGTCTCCCCACACCAGAGGCATCTTTCCAAAAAAATCACATCTGAACACCCCACTTCAGTGTGAAGCTTCCTTGTTCTCAGGTAAAGCCTCTGCCCTCCCCTGGTGGCTCAGATGGTAAAGAATCTGCCTGCAATGCAGGAGACCCGAGTTCAATCCCTGGGCCGGGAAGATCCCCAGGAGGAGGAAATGGCAACCCACTCCAGTATTCTTGCCTGGAGAATCCCATGGACAGAGGAGCCTGGCAGGCTGCAGTCCATGGGGGTCGCAGAGAGTTGGCATGACTGAGCGACTAGCACTTCCTCTGCCCTCCCAGGTCCCCAGGCTCCTCTGGTCCAGCCCCTGTGGCCTCTTTTCAGACCCTCAGAGGCACATGTTCCCTCCCAGTGCAGGCCTTTGCCCGTGCCCAGCAGTCGCCTCTGTGGTATCTCTTCCCTTCCCCCTTGCCTCACCCCAGCCCCTGTGCTTAAGTAACTGCTCACACTTTAGGCCAGCTCCAGCATCCTGCTTCCAGAACCTTCCCTGACCCCATAGCAGGAAGCTGACCTCCCACAGTGGCTAGTTCTCCTAGCCAGGTCCAGTTCACTCTTGTTTCATGGCTCCACAGAACAAATGTGAACTGCATCTGGCTAAGGGAACCGGTTCCAAAGAGCAGGACAGGGCTGTAGGTCCCAAAAAGAAGGACCCAGCCTTGTTGAGCTCACTGTTTTATCCTGCTGTGCAGTGGGCTTGGAGGAAACCCTCCAGGGCCAGTCCTAGGTGCAGGGACCCATGGAACCCATGAGCAGAAGAGGCAGCAGGTGCCCAGGCCCCCACCGTCTCAGCATCCTTCAGAGAGGTGTTTGGGCCAGGACACAGTTGGGCTTGCAGAGGGGCTCTGCTGCAATGAGGGACCTGCCCCATCCCTTCTATGGGGCAGGCCTGGCACAGGGGGTGTGGGGGACAGGCCGGGCCTAGGGGTCTGCTGTGTAGGGCAATTCTGAGAAAGATGGTACTGGGGAGTCCCACGAAGAAATGGGATGTCACAGCCCCTGGTGCCTCCCCCAACCTAGGACAGCTCCAGCGTCACCTCCCCTGTGCCAGAGGGACCGATTCAGCCAGTCCAGAAAAGGACACATGTTTATCTGGCTCAGCTGCTGGCCTGACCCTGCTGGGGGCTGTAGTAACTAGAGGGGGAATCAGGACTCGGGAAGGCTCCAGACCCCCAGGCTTCATTTAGGACGCTCTTAACAGCCTGGAACCACTTCTCTCGCAGGACAAACAGCAGCCAGCCCTGCCGGCTCTCCAATTTCTGCAGGACCTTCATGACCAGGCCAGGTTGCTCTGGCTACTGCCTGTCCCACCAGCTACTCTTCTTCCTCTTGGCCAGAATGGTAAGTGCCGAGTGTGGGCCCAGCCACAGCCGGAGGAGGAGAAAGAATGACTGGAAGGCGCTCTTGACAGTGTGGTTTTATACGTTCACACCAGTAAAACACGCGGGTTTTAAACCTGTGCTTCAGACATCAGGAGTGGGAAATAGCATGCCGTTCATCAGCCATGAAATCCAACCAAAGTGGTGGAGAGGCTGGGGGTGGTAGTGTTGAGGTTCTGTTGGACATAGAGCTTTGCATGCTGAACTGGATCACAGGGCGTCAGGGAAACAGAGAGGGGTTGGGAGAGGAGCCGCAGAAGTAGCTCAGTAAACAACAGATGGAAAAGGTCTTAGAACAAAGTCAGTCGCTAGCTGCTTCCAGAAAACCAAGCCAAGACCAAAAGAGACCCACCATCACCTCCCTGTGCCCAACACTCTTTCAACCCCAAGCACTCAGATTTTGCTAAATACTCATTTTAATTTATTTTATTTTGGCCTCACCACATGACTTGCAGGATCTCTGTTCCCTGACCAGGGTCTGAGCCCTGGTCACAGCAGTAAAATCACAGAATCCTAACCATTAGACTGCTAGGGAACTCTCGCTAAATACTCATTTTACACATATATTTATTTATATACAAAGCAGGGCTTGCTATCTCTATTCAAAAATGTTACTCAATGCCCAGAAATTCTTAATCAAGAAAGGACTTGTTGATTTTAATAGATTTTTTTATTATTATTTATTTGCAAATTGTCACAGCCCAGTGTTTTTGCAAATACAATAAAAGCCTAATTACAAGGAAAATTGTTGTGATTATTAGATTCAGCAGATAGAAAATTAGTCTGACATATTGCTATAGCAGTTTTTAAAGTCTGTTCTCGTCACCCGTCCTTTTCTTCGTGTGGTGAGACCAATCCTCAGCCCAGGCTCTTTTTTTTTTTTTTAATTGGAGGATAATTGCTTTACAATGTTGTGTTGGTTTCTGCTGCACAACAACACAAATCAGTCATAATTATATATATATATGTCCCCTCCCGCTTGAGCTTTCCTCCCCCCCCCCACCCCACCCCTCTAGGTCATCACAGAATGCCAGGCTGGGCTCCCTATGTTATACATAACTTCCTACCAGCTATTTATTTTACACACGAGAGCATATATATGTAAATTTTACTCTCTCAGTTTGTCCCACCCTCTCCTTCCCCGGCTGAGTATACAAGTCCGTTCTCTATGCCTGCATCTCTATTCCTGCCCTGCAAACAGGTTGATCAGTGTTATTTTTCTAGATTTCCATATGAATACATTAATATATGATATTTGTTTTTCTCTATCTAACTTACTTCACTCTGTATAACAGGCTCTAGGTTCATCCACCTCACTACAACTGACTCACATTCATTCCCTTTTTATGACTGAGTAATATTCCACTGTATATTTTTACCACACCTTCTTCACCCATTCATCTGTCGATGGATGCCTAGGTTGCTTCCATGTCCTGGCTATTGTAAATAGTGCTACAGTGAATGATGGGGCACATGTGCGTTTTTTGGATTGTGGGTTTCTCAGGGTGTACGCCCAAGTAGCGGGATTGCTGGGCCATATGGTAGTTTTTTTCCCTTGTGAAGTGCTGTAGCTGCCTGCCACAGTGTGGTTAGGCTGGAATCAGCTTGCAGTGACATCGGCTAACAGCTTTAGAGCGCCCCCTGGTGTCTGACACCCCCGCCCACGCCAGCGCCGCTCTGGTGCAGCTCCCAGCGGCATCACTTTCTTCTCCCCTTGAAGACCCTTGAGGCTCATAATAGGTTAACTTAGGTGGTAGAGGTCGCACAGCTCCTAAGTGGCTGAGTCAGGACTTGAACCCAGCTCTCTCGGTCCCCTGGTGACTAAGCCTCCCATGGGCTGGGAGCGCGGATGGGGAAGAAATTTGGGGGAAAAGGAGAAAGATCTGCTGTCAAAGGCTGCTGCTGCTGCTGCTGCTGAGTCGCTTCAGTAGTGTCTGACTCTGTGCGACCCCATAGACGGCAGCCTACCAGGCTCCTCTATCCCTGGGATTCTCCAGGCAAGAACACTGGAGTGGGCTGCCATTTTCTTCTCCAAGGCATGCATGCATTCTAAGTCGCTTCAATCGTGTCTGACTCTGTGCGACCCTATGGACAGCAGTCCACCAGGCTCCTCTGTCCACAGGATTCTCTAGGCAAGAATACTGGAGTGGGTTGCCATTTCCTTCTCCAGCTGTCAAAGGCAGCCACTTGCAAAACCATTTCAGAATAGCAGGTATTTCCCTGTAACAGAGTGTGCATCTGCCGCCCACTCTCTGACTTGTCTCTCTGTTTTCCCAGAGAGGATGTACCAAAGGGCTGTTCCGCCAGAGCCAGCACTACATGAACATCTTCTGCGCCAACATGATGGACCTGAACCGGAGAGCCGATGCCATTGGATATGCCTACCCGACCCGGGATGTCTTCATGGAAAACAGTGGGCCCCGCATTCTACTCTAGCAACAGAGCTGCAGGGTGTCTCTGATTTCAGGCAAACACACACACAGAAACACAGAATAGGGCTGCCAGGCTCAGCAAATGAAAATACAGGATGCCCAGGCAAATTTGGACTTCAGATAATAAACAATGAATACACCTAGTATAAGTATATCCCCAACATTGCATGGGCTATACTAAACTTTTTTTAAAATTCATCGTTCTTTTGAAACTCAAATTTAAGTGTGCATCCTGTATTTTTTCTGCCACTGTTTTGACTGCTTCCTTCCCCCAAAAGCTGACCCAGTGGTGGAGCTCTGGACAGATGACCAACTAGGTGACTGGCAAACAGACCCTTAAAACCTGAGAGAGGGGACTGAAAGAGGAATCCCTGGGTGACTGCTCCTTTGCTTGGGTGTCCAGGCCCCCGTACTGACCCTGACACCTGAGCAGCCCTGACTGAGGCCCTAAATGGAAGCAGGACTCGGGTCTGGGAGCCCCTGCTCACTAAGGCAGGCCCTCAGGGCTGCCTCCTTCCAGCCACTGTGGGGTTTGTTCATTTTTGTTTTATGGCTCCACTGGGTCTTCACTCATTTTTTTTTTTAAATTTTGGCAAGGGCTTTCTCTAGTTGCAGTCAGCTGGGGCTACTCTTCATTGCAGTTTGCAGGCTTCTCATTGCAGTTTGCAGGCTTCTCATTGCAGTGGCTTCTCTCGTTGCAGAGCACGGGCTCTAGGGACGGGCTTCAGTAGTTGCAGCTTGCAGGCTCTTGAGCCCAGGCTCAGCAGTCGTGGCACATGGGCTTAGTTGCTCCGAGGCATGTGGACTCTTCCTGGACCAGGGATCAAACTGGTGTCCCCTGCATTGGCAGGCGGACTCCGATCCACTGCACCTCCAGGGAAGCCCAAGCCACGGTGTTGAGTGCCCACCTCCTGGTGCTGCTTCTCTCTAGCAGATGGCACCATGGTGGCCTTGGGGAGGGGGAGGAGGTGGGCCTGGTGGGCAGGCCTGCAGAGGGTCCCCTGTCTTTGCTTCCAGTCATGTTGTGTGGGATGAGTGGCTTCTCCGACTTCTACAAGCTCCGGTGGCTGCAGGCCATTCTCAGCTGGCAGAAGCCGCGGGAAGGATGCTTCGGGGAGCCAGGTGAGCTGCACTGCCTCCCTGACTGGGAGTGGGCATGGGGCGGGGGGGTGCTGGGCTTCCACGCCAGGTGGGGAAAGGGTGCAGAGGTGTTAGGGGTGTGGAGAGGGACGTGCAACATGCACCATGCCTTTCCATGCACACACGTGCACACAGACACACACAGATGTTGGGGATGTGGCAGCAGACAGGTGCTCGTGGAATCTTCTGGTAGTGCCTCCAGATTCAGGAGACCTGTGTTGCTTGAGGTGTTGTGAAGAGGAGGGGGCTTAGCCAGTAGCTATTCAGAGTTTATTTATTTAGTTGCACCTGGTCTTATTTGCCACACATGGGGTCTTAAGTTGCAGTATGCAGATCTTTAAGTTGTGGCAGGTGGGACCTAGTTTCCTGATCAGGGATGGAACCCAGGCTCCCTGCACTGGGAGCTTAAAGTCTTACCCACTGGACCACCAGGAGAGTCCTAGCCAGTAACATTTAAAACCCATTGACTCAAAAAAAAATTAAATTTAATTAAAAAAAAAAAACCATTGCCTCATTGTACAGCAGAAACTAACACAACATCGGAAAGCAATCATACCCCAATTGAAAAAAGGAAAAACAGAAATACAAAAAAAATCCATCTTGAGAAGTTCACCTTGTACTCTTCTCCCAGCTGCTGAAGATGAAGAATTTCCTAAAGCCATTCAGTACCAACAGCATTTTTTGAGAAGAGTGAAGAGGCGAGAAAAACAATTTGCAGGTAATGAAAATACCCAAGGGACCTTCTTCTTGTCAAGAGGGCCTAGAAAAGATACACACAGCTCACCCTCAAGGAAAACAGGCCCCCAGCATCATCGAGGGGCCGGGCTGGAGTGTCTTTGTGTTTGGGAGCTGAAGGGAAGGGTAGGAATCGCTGATGCCCTCCTCTTTGAAAGTGGGGAGTCCAGAGATGCTGTCTCCATTGAAGGGAACATAAAAGAGATGTTTAAGTGTATTTCACACTGAACGTCACTGAGGTAACCCCCTCGGTCAAAGTCTAGTCAGGAAAACAGACCCTGAATTGGGAACTTCAGCAGAGGGAATTGAATATAGGGAACTCATCTCAGAGATGCTGCAAGAGCTGAAAACAGAAAAGGTAAGAAAACACAGAGGTTAGCCACTGCAGGACGCCCCCATCCTCCCTGGAGGCAGAGCTGGAGGGACCGTGGGAGGAGAGGAGCCTGTGGAGGCTGGATGCAAAGAAGATGGGGGCGCGGGGAAGAGACACCCAGCTTCTCCCCTCATCCCACCTGTGCCTTCCTGTGGTGGGCAAGGCAGTCTGGTGAACGTATTGAATAGTTTGGAGGGGTTGGTGCACTGGGATTTGGAGCAAAGAAGGGCAGAAGCGGGATCCTTGAGCCAGTGGACAAGGGACAAGCACAGTCCTGGTGTTACCAGTTTACACATCATCCTGGAGCTCTTTTTTTTTTCCTTTGGCTGTGCCACATGGCTTATGGGATCTTAGTTCCCTGACCAGGGCTCCAACCAGGGCTCCTGGCAGTGAAAGCCTAGAGTCCAAACCCACTGGACCTCCAGAGAATTTCCCTGGAGCCACTATGAACAGCGTCCCCTTCCCTGCCAAATGTGTTCTAATTGAGATGAGTTTGCTATGTAGTCAGTGCATCAGTGTAGAGAAACAGAGAACAGGCTATTAATATTAATGCATTCCAGGTGGTGCTAGTGGTAGAGAACCTGCCTGCCAATTCAGGAGACAGAAGAGGTGCAGGTTAGATCCCTGGGTTGGAAAGATCCCTGAAGGAGGGCATGGCAAGCCACTCTAGCATGCTTGCCTGGAGAATCCCATGGACAGAGGAGCCTAGCGGACTACAGTCCATAGGCTGGCAAAGAGTTGGACATGACTGAAGCCACTGAGCACAAAAAAGATTTCTTTTACGATTATTAATAAAAATTAAAATAACTGTAAGGCAAGAGCAGGAAGGGAGGTGAGCCGGCCAGCACAGAGATGTCCAGTACACACTGGGGAATGATTCCAACAACTAAACATCTCACCAGGAACCCCACCACGGCTTCATCATCTACCTGCAAGTAACAAGAGAGGAGAGTGATGATTGGTTTGTTTCATAGCTGCCACCAAAGGCTGGGCGGGGTGGGGGGGAGAGTTCTCAGGAGATCTCCAGGGCCCCCTGCCTTGGCAAGGTCTGCCTGACCCAGGGGCTGGGGCTGCCTGTAGCCAGCGGTAGGGGACCCGCTGTGCACTTCCGGAGATCTGGCTGCTCCCTTGAGACTGACACCTGGAAACTAGGCCCGCCCTGAGGACTGGAGAGGGAGCTGCAGAAATCTCACAGCCTGAGGTCCTTCCTGGGGCCCCTGCAGGTTGACCAGCAGCCTGGGAAGCTGGGAGAGGCATGTTCCTTCTTTCATTTATGACATGCACACCTGTTGACTAAGGGCACCGGATTCGAAGTCAGACTGTCTGGGTTCAAATCAGCTTCTGCCTTTCTTTGCTGTGGGAGTTGCTCAATCTCTCTGAGCCTCAGTTTCACCATCTGTAAAATGGGAACCAAGCCATGCCTCATTCATAGGGTTTTGGGGGGTTAATTTCAGATCATCATGCAACGTGCTTCCCACATTTTTCCTATGAAGGTCGCCAGTAAGCATGGATTGCCAGGGTTAGTAATTAGGCTCCTTGAAGTTTGCATTATCTCTCCCTCGGAGGGGCCTTCCCTTCTCCAGAGGAAAGGAAAATCATGGCTCCCTCCAACCTGCTCAGAAACTAAAGGTGGACAGCTCATTTTGAGCTCAGAGGACTCATAATAAGAGGACATTACAAATGATGTCAAAGGAGCTCCTGGCCCAGGTTGCTGTTTGGGCAAACATGGGACCAGGTGGGCCCCAGGCAGGACTGAGGGAGGCTGTCAAGCAGAAGAAATGAGCTATAGAGTCTTCAGGGTTGGGATCTCAGCTCTGCTCCCAGTCTCTGTTTCCCCATCTGTGAAATGGGGCCATTCGGTGCTGTTCTAGAAGGTCTCACGCAGGTCCTGAGCACAGGGGAAGGTGGAAAGAATTGGACCAGGGTGTGGCCTCCAGGAAGGGGCTCTGAAGCGTGAATCACAACATAGAGTCACCCCTGCCCATGTAAGGAAGTCTTCCAGACAAGATATAACCTCCCAGATGAGGAGGTTCCAACTAGCTGAAGACATTTCTTCCCAGAGGGGCGACTTTAGCAGCCAACATTCACGGAGGTTGGCAGGTGGGTGCCCAGCCCTGCAAGGGAGATCTGGGGACACCAGGCTGGCCGAGAGAATATCTGAGAAGTCCTCACAATGGAGCAGTGGCTGCCTGCTGCACCCCCCTCCCAGGACTCACAACGGGACCTCTTGTCTGTCTCCCCAGACGGCTGCTCCTCCCACAACACAGCCATGGCTGTTGCAGCACTGGGTGGCTTCCTCTATGTCCTGGCGGAATACCCCCCAGCAGAGGGGAAGCTGTGGCCACCCACAATGACACCGCCCGACGGCCACTGACACAGTTTCACGCCTGCCACCACCAGAAAAATGAAGCCTACACCTTTAGTCCATCTAATTCTTAAGTCCTGGGGTGCAGGTCACATCCTAAGGCGGAAGCAGCTGAAGCAAAGAACCCAGGGTCACCGCTGTCCCCCTCGCCCCCGGGAGCTGGGCTGGGGAGGTGGGGCCGGGATGGACCCAGGTGTGAGAGCAGATGAATAAATGTAGAGTGCAGTTGAGCTGGGCGTTGGGTCTTGGTTCTCAGCCTTTCAGACTCCTAGGGCTCCAATTCGGAAACAGCTGAAGTGACAGCACGCACGCACGCACACTGCACTTGGCGATGGAGCGACAGACATCTAAGTAGGGAGAAGAGTAAAAGTCAGAAACGTGCCAAAGACTGCCTGCCACCCGCAACCCCTGGTTCGTTGAGAACAGAGGGTTTCCGGGAAGTTGGCAGCAGACCAACTTGTCTGCTGACGAGCTTTTGGCACCTGAACACTTGTGCTGGCCCCTGTAGGCTTGTGCGTCACAGAGGCGCCCAAAGGCCACCTAATCCGGGACGCTACCTTTGGCTAGCTATATAGGACATTATGTGGACAACTGGAAATATTTGGATGTGACCTGTGGATTAGTTAATAGAATTTTATTGGTAGGAACCATCCTAATTTTACTTGACCCGTGCTTATGTAAGAAAATCCTCACAGAGGATGCATAAAGTGTTAAGGTGCGGTACATAAAAGTGTCTACACTTCATGATGTCCACAGCTTGGCTGAAATGGTTCCAAAAATGTGTATTATGAATAAAGCGCAAACGTTAACAATTGGTAAAGACAAGTAAAAACTACACAGAGGTTCTTTACACTCCTTTGTCAACTTTCCCGTAGACTTCAATATTACAACAACGTAAAACGTTCCCGCCATCCCAGAACCCCGCCCCCTCTAAAAAAAATTAACACAGCAAGTTATCAGGTCTATATCTCGCGATATCCGAAGAAGTACAAATGCTACAGAGCGAAGATCTGTCAACCGTAAGTGGCCCTGGGTCACGTGTTATATGCTCACGTGACCGGAGGTCCGAGCCCAACATGGCGTCCTCCATGGGTCGCTTCCTTCTCTTCTTCATTGGGCTGCGCGGCTTCCTACTGGAGGCATCCGGCGACCTCGGCTCGGGGTGAGTACAGCTCTCGCGGGGGCAAGTCTGGTTGTGGCGGGGGGGTCCCCCCAGCCCGAGGCACAGCACTCCGAACTCTCGTGTGCCCCCCCCCCCCCACCCGCAGGGCCTCCCGCGACGACGACGTGCTCCTGCCCTACCCCCGCGCGCGCGCGCGCCTCCCCCGGGACTGCACAAGAGTGCACGCCGGCCGCCTGGAGCACGAGAGCTGGCCGCCGGCCGCCGCGACCGCCAGCGCCCCCCGCCCCTCCGTGCGCACCTTCGTCTCGTACTTCGCAGACCGCGCGGTGCCAGGTCATCTGACGCGAGCGCCCGAGCCCTTGCGCACCTTCTCGGTCCTGGAACCCGGTGGACCCGGCGGCTGCGCGTCGAGGCGCCGCGCCACTGTGGAGGAGACGGCGCGGCCGGCCGGCTGCACCGTCGCCCAGAACGGCGGCTTCTTCCGCATGGAGACGGGCGAGTGCCTGGGCACCGTGGTGAGCGGCGGGCGGCGGGTGAGCAGCGCCGGGGGGCTGCAGAACGCGCAGTTCGGGATCCGCCGCGACGGGACTCTGGTCACCGGGTGAGGAGGCAGGGTGTCCGGTAACTGTTGAGGGCAGAGGGCCTGAGAGTCGAGATGTAGCCGTGCCGCTGTGTTCAAGTCGCCTAACCACGCTGAGCCTCCGTTTCCGCATCTCCAGGAAGGGGAAGGTAGTACCTTCCTCGTAGAGTTTATTCGTCTTCCAGTTTGGGATGCTGCTTGCTTTGTGTCGGTCTGTGTGCATACACCGGGGGTATGGCTGTGAACAAGCAAACAGTCTTTGCCTTCAAAAGAGGACACACACAGCCCCCATTACTGGTGAAAAATTCAACAAAATCCAGAGAGATAATTAAGTTAATTTACATTGTATATAAGTAGTGAAGCAATGAACAGGGTGAAGTGACTGTAAATAGAGCGTTGAGTTAGGGAAGGTAATCAGGAAGGACTGGTCTGAGAAGGTGACCTTAATCACATGAGAAAATTAATGTGAAATTTAATCACAGGTCAACCAGGGTCAAAACTGGAGGAAGAGCATTGCTGTCAGAAGGGACAGCAGGTGCTGAGGCGCAGAGGGGCTTGGTGTGTGAGGGACGGAAGGAAGGAGGAAAGTATCAGAGGAGGACAGAACTGATTTTGGTCACTTAAGAGCTTGATCTGATCCTGCCGGACACTAAACCCGGACTGGGGTGATGGCCTGAGAGATTGAGGGCTATAGGTGGACTTGAGATCTGTTGGGGTTGGTTGTTTCTGTTAAATGAAGTGTGGACTGGGATATGTGGACTGTTTACAAAGATTGCTTCTAGGACCAGGCAGGTTCCTGGGCATCAGGAGGAATCCAGTAGCCAGGCAGGGGGTGGGGATGGGGACCCCCACTACCCACAGTTTGCCGCTGCTGTTGACTGAATCTCTCTGCTTCCCTGTTTCCAGATACCTGTCTGAAGAGGAGGTGCTGGACACTGAGAATCCGTTTGTGCAGCTGCTGAGTGGGGTCGTGTGGCTGATACGCAATGGCAGCATCTACATCAATGAGAGTCAGGCGGCTGAGTGTGAGGAGACCCAGGAGACAGGTGGGAAGGGGGCGCTGAGTACCATAAGATGCGGGTGATGAGTGGGGGTGTTGGCAATAAGTCTTTTGAAAACCTGGATAGGTGGGGTGGTAGGGGAAGTCTTTCCACAAGTTCCATTCTAGGTATTGGGAATCAGTGGGGATCCCTGCTTCGTGAAATGTGTAAGAAAGAAAATAAATATATAGTATACTAAAAAGAGGTGGTTAGTGCTAAGACAGAAGTTGAAGGAATGGAGCTATGAACAAGACAGTAGAGGAGTGTTCCTAAAATGTCTGTGGACCAGCAGCATCAGCGTCACCCAGGATCTTGTTGTAAACTCAGAGCTTCAGTCCCTCCTGCTCTGCCTTGAAGCCACAGCATCAGAATCCCTGGGGTGAGTCCCAAGAGTGTGTGTTCTAAGGAGCTCTCTGGGCGATTCTGATTGACATTGGATTTTGAGAACCACTGAGATGTGAAATACTGGGGCAGGGAAGGTCTGCCATGGCCTAGATGTTTAAACAGGCTGTTTTAGATTATACGGTCAGGGAAGGCCTCATGGAGGAGGTGACATAGCTCAGAAGGAGCAAGCCATGGGAAGAGCTGGGGAGAAGCCCAGTCCAGCCAGAAGGAACAAAAAGTGTCTGTATGGAATTGCGGGGAGACTGCCAGGAGATGGGGTAGAGGAAGCAGTCCAGGGAAGTCATGCCAGGCTTTGGTAAGGCATTTGGATTTTGAACTTGGAACAGTGGAGGCCGTTGGGGTGTTTTCACCTGGAGGTTGACCTTGCTTGGTTTACACTGAAGAACAACCCTTTGCCTGCTCTGTGGAGATGGACTGGGACCGGGTTAGGGGGAAGGCAGATAGCTGGGTGCACAGACCCAGAGGTGAAGAGTGGTGTCGGGCTGGCAGGAAGTGGCAGGCAGAGCCGAGAAGACCTCCCGAAGGGCCAGGCGATCAGCCAGGCTGCCTCTCCTTCAGGTTCCTTCAGCAGATTTGTGAACGTGATCTCAGCCAGGACAGCCGTGGGCCACGACCGGAAGGGGCAGCTGGTGCTCTTGCACGTGGATGGGCAGACAGAGCAGCGGGGGTGAGTCCTGCTCTGAGGAGCCTCAGCCCACCATCAGCTGCCTTTCTGACCCTCAGGTGTTCCCTGGGGATCGTCACACCCACCTGTCCCCTGTCTTCCCACCGGCAGAGGGTCCCTTGGTCTGTCCCACTTCCACAAACTCATCACCTTCCACACATTTGCTCTCAGTCTCCTTGACTTAGGGCCTCATCTCTCCTGAGCTCTGGTTGGGGTGAAACGAAATTATCACAAAGTATCTACTCACAAGGCCGGGAGTAGACCTTGGTTCCCATTATAGCTCTGCCATATGCTGGCTCTGTGGCTGTGGACAAGTTACTTGACCTCTCTGGGCTCATTTCGTCCTCTGTAAAGTGAGTGTGCTGTGTAACAGATTAGCACAGGCAGCACTGATTTGTTAGATCGGAGCTCTGAAGGTCGGGAGTCGGCTGAGAGTGACAGTGCTCAGGTAGGTTCTCTTGTTCAGGGTGTCCCACAGAAACCATCCAGTTCTTGGCCAGATGGGGGGCTTATCTGGAGCTTCTGGGAAAGAATTGTCTTGGCAGCTCACTCAGGTTGTTGGCAGAATGCTGTCCTTGGAGTTGTCAGACTGAAGTGTCTGCGTCATTGCTGTCTGGGGGCCTCCCCACTCACGAGGCTGCCCATGTTCCTCCTCTTGTGTATCTTCAGGGTACAGAGGTGTGTCAAATCCATCTAACCCCCTCATATTCCAGTCTCCCTCACTTTGTCTTTTGCCTTAGCCTGAGAAAGCTCTCTGCTTTTAAGGACTCCTGTGATTCCGTTGGGACCACCCAGATCATCCAGGACAGGGTCCCCACATGTGGACAGTTGTGCTGTGTATCCTAACACAATCATGAAGATGATGTCTGGTTACAGCCATAGCTTCCAAGGATTGGGACAGGCCACTTGAGCTGGGGGAGCACTTGGAAATTTGCCTGCCATAGCGGGTGTGTGATACTGTCCACTGTGGAAAGTAAGGTGCACCAACCTGGAAGCAGATGCCGCAAAGTCAGCAACACTTGTCTTGTGCTGCAGCGTTAACCTGTGGGAGATGGCGGAGTTCCTGCTGAAACAGGACGTGGTCAACGCCATCAACCTGGATGGAGGAGGCTCTGCCACCTTCGTGCTCAACGGGACCTTGGCCAGTTACCCGTCTGATCACTGGTAAGCCTACCAGAGCCCCCTTGCTGAGGTCGAAGGCCAGGCCTGTCCCCGGCTGTCTCATTCAACAAACACTGAGGGCCTGTCATTTGCCAGGCTCTGGGGGTTCAGTAGAGAAGCAAAAGGAGCCGAGATGCCTGCTTCTCGCTGCTTACAGGAAGTGGTGTACATAGCGTAACAGCACTGCCCAGGGCCGATGGGAGGGGCTGGTGATGATGAGGAAAGACCTGAGGATAGAGAAGCATGAGCTGAGAGCTGGAGGGTGCGGAGGTGACTGGGCGGGAGTGGGATAGCCTTCTGGGCCCAGAACAGCAAAGGCCCTGGGGTGGGAAGAACCTATAAAAGGCTGGAGAAGAGATGATGAGGAGAGGCAGCCCTCGGCCCTGCAGTGGGGGATCTGAGGGGTGGCCAGCACCTCAGCCTCTCTTGACGCACCTGTCCCCCTGCAGCCAGGACAACATGTGGCGCTGTCCCCGCCACGTGTCCACCGTGGTGTGTGTGCACGAGCCCCGCTGCCAGCCGCCAGACTGCAGTGGCCACGGGACCTGCGTGGAGGGGCGCTGCCAGTGCACGGGGCGCTTCTGGCGGGGTGCTGCCTGCGACAAGCTGGACTGTGGCCCCGCCAACTGTAGCCAGCACGGGCTCTGCACGGAGAGTGAGTGCTGGCTCTGCGGGAGGCAGCTCCAGCCCGGGTGCCCCGCTCTCACGGCCCCAGCCCGGCCCGGCCCTCACCTGGCTTTCTTGGTCTTGTCTTGGCAGCTGGCTGCCGCTGCGAAGCTGGATGGACAGGGTCCAACTGCAGTGAAGGTAAGAGCCCCCGGGCCAGCCTCCTCCCTGGCACCCCTTGGGGCTCTCAGGCAGGGTGATCCTGGGAGCTGCAAGCCTCAGTTGCCTTTCTCCCCGCCTCCTGGTCCACTAGTCTCTTCACTCTGTCTCACACTTTCGCCCCAAGTGTAAATCACCATGTCAGTATCCTGCGGCTGCTGCAGCAAGTGTCCACTAACTCAGGATGAACACAGTCCTTTATTCCCTCACAGTTCTGGAGGCCAGCACCCCATCTCAGCAGGGCCGTGTTGGCTCTGAAAGGTCTGGGGGAGGATCCTCCCTGCCTCTTCCAGCTCCTGGTGGCCCCCGCGTTCCTTGGCTTGTGGCTGCCTCAGCCCAGTCTCTGTCTCTGATTTCACAGGCACAGCCTCCTCCCTTGTCCGGGTCCAGTCTCCCCCTCCATTCTCTTACACGGACCCCAGGCCCCTGGGGTTTGGGTCCATCTTAAATGCAGGAGGCTCCCCATTTCAAGATCCTTAATTGCATGTGCAGAGACCATATTTCCAAATAAACTCAACGTTTACAGGTTCTGCAGTTGGAACCTGTCTTTGGGAGGTTGTGTCCTACAGATGTGTCCTACAGGACTACTGTCACCTGTGGCTTAAATCCTTAGTGGCTTTCTTTGGCACTGAGTGAAAAATCTGAACTCCTCAGCATGACATGCCAGGCCCCGGGTGCTCCGGCCATGCCCCCCTCCCCACCCCCCACCCTCCAGGCCTGCAGATCAGGTCCTCGGACGCCCCTCCACCCCCCAACCTCAGTGCTCGCTGTTGCCGCACCCGCTCCCCTCCCTCCAGCGCACTCATCCTGTGACACATGCCTTCTGGCTCCCTGGCTGCCTAGACCAGAAGCCTCTGCCTAAACAGAGCGGAGGCTCCATGAGGCCGTGGCCTCAGGCCTGCCACATGGCAGGTTCTCCGGAACTACCTTTTGGAAGGACACGTGAACCAACAGGTCCGCTTGGGATGCTGAAGATGCGTTTGCAATCCCCTGGGCCCCAGCCTGGGAGGGGAGGGCAGAGCCAGGTTTGGCAGAGACCCCCCCCTTCCTCCACCCCAGCTTGCACCAGTGGCTTCTTTGGGGAAGACTGTGCCCAGAAGTGTCAGTGTCATAATGGAGCCACCTGTGACCCAGTGCAGGGAACCTGTGCCTGTCCCCCTGGCTTCACTGGAGACACCTGTGTGCAGGGTAAGCAGGAAGGTCCCCTGAGTCAGCCTGGAGGGAGCCCCACCCAGGGGGTGCTTCTGCGTCAGCCCGGATCTGCCCACACCCGAGCACATCCTAGCAGTGCAGAGAGAGGCCTGGCCACCGAGGCCCCCACCGCTGTCTTCCTGGCTCCTCCCTGCAGAGTGTCCACTCGGCTGGTACGGGCCAGGCTGCCAGAGCCCTTGCAAGTGTGAACACCAGTGTCCTTGCGACCCCCAGACTGGCAACTGCAGTGTCAACTGGTCACCCACCCTGAGCAGGCTCTTCTCCCGAGGTATGGCACCTCCCAGGGCCCCCCCGGGAGCAGGAGAGGGCAGACCCCTCTTCTCCCAGCCTTCAGCCTCTCCATGGCCTCTTGCAGTGAAGGAGTGTTTCCCACCTCCCGAGGTCACCGTGCGGGCAGGAGAACTCTCCCTTTTCACCAGGTAGGTGCTTCGATGGGGGCAGGGGCGGGAGGAAAGCGCCTCCTTCCACCTTCCGGGTGTGGCCTCTGCTCTGGGCCCAGGCAGGGCTAGGAGGTGGCTGCTGGGTACCAGGCAACGGTTCTCTGGCTTAAGCTCAGGGAGAGTCCCAGCTGATGCAGTCCCCCGAGCGTCCAGGGAGACGCCAAGGACCCTGGCCACCCCCACAGCGGAGTCCAGGGGGCTGGGTGTGGGCTTGCTTTTTCAGCTTTTGGTGCAGAAGCTCTGAGCAATTCACATCATTTCTCTGGCACCCGGGCATGTTCACCCCTTGTGTGGGGCCTTTACTTTCTAGCGCAGGTCTTCAACTTGACATCCAGGTAGGGGGCGTGTGTTAGAAGACAGAGCTGGAATCAAGAACCAGTGCTGTCGGTCTGGGAGCCCCCGTTGGAGAACCTGTCTTCATGGTTGTTGCCTGCCATGGCCCAGGGCAGTGCCTGGCCCACCCCCTCCAGGTGGAAACCAGGTGTGGGCGTGAATGAAAAACCCCTTGGCCTGGGCCTGGAGGCAGCACCTGGGAGCTCATCACAAAACTCAGATCCCAGGTCCTTCCTGGAGATCCTGACCCAGTGATCGGGTGAGGGCTGGGAGGACAGCCCGCGTGGTGTGCTGGGAAACGCACCAGAGCAGGGATGGGGGCGCTCAGGAGCCCTGCACCCCGAGCTCAGGTCTCAGGTATGAGATCACGGGGTCCCGCAGCAATGGGCGGGAGCTGTGGGGGGGATGAGGGACAGGCTGCAGGCCCCGCCCCCCGGGCAGTCAGCGTGTGTCTGCTTCTGCGTTGAGGATTTCAGACCAAGATGACACGGAGGAAGAAAGATCACTGAAGGACCGCCCCCTCCTGCCCCCCCCCCCCCCCCGCCACATCCCTGCCAGCTCCCTGCCTGGGAAGAGGGGGTGTGGGTCCTCGCTGCTCTGTCTGCTTTGAGGATCCTGGAGAGAGCCCAACCTCTGTTGCCAACATCCTCAGGAACCCAGGATGCAGACCGCTGCCTCTTGGGTGGATTAGGTCCTCAGCTTTGTTTTCTGTGGCATGTACAATGCAACATTTATTAGCAGCATCTGAAACCCAGGGAGTGGTGCACATCAAAATCTTTGTTTTTCCCTACTCCTCTTGAAGTACCAGGCAAGGTGGGAGCCTGATATCAGGCAAGGTTTGTCCCACATAATAACTGTCCGCACTGCTCTGGAACGTGTGTGGAGTACGCTCCTCACCCCAGTAGACCCGTTTGCTCCCCCCTGTGTGGTCCCTGGAGGACCCTGATGCTGTGCTCCTGTTCTGGGAGGAGGAGCAAAGTGGGGGGAAGGAGGGAGCCCCTCCAGCACCGCCTCAGCCTGAATCGCATCCAGCATCCCTGTTCCGGGTTCTCTCCCACCCGCAGGACCACCTGGCTGGCCATCACCTTGGCCCTGGCTTTCCTCCTGCTGCTCAGCACGGCAGCAAATGTGTCTTTGTTCCTGGGGTCGAGGGCCACGCGGAGCCGGCACCTGGACGGGGCCTACGTCTACTACCCGCTGCAGGAGGTGAACGGGGAGCACCCGGCCGCAGAGAAGGAGCAGCTGGGTGACTCCTGTAACCCCTTCAAGGACTGAAGCCTCCTGCTGCCGGTCGTGTCCTGTTCCCGAGGCTCATCTCCAGGAGCTCTGACTTCTGCACGAGGAAGTCCCAAGGCCACCGACCCATCCGGGTAGTCGCGACCTGGGTGCCAAGCCAGGCTTCCAACAGCAACGTGCCTCAGCCCCGCCCTGGCCACCTGCCGTGGCAGATGCAATCCAGCACTCCCAGAGGGCCAGCCTCTGTCCCCGCCTGCCTGTGTCTGCTGCTCACGGGGCCTGCTCCCCACCCAGGGCCTGCCTGCTGCTGCCAAAGAGCCTCCGCCTCCCGGGGCTAGAGCTGCTGCAAACGGAGCTCGCGATGACCATGCCGCAGCGAAGTGGCAGGGTCCAGCCATTGCCTTCGGACGAGGGGTGGATTGAAGAGACAACAGCCACGTACGGGACCCTTTTTTACAGACCTTACCACTGAACTTGCCCACTGGAATGGTGTTTCCTGTCACGGGAAGCTCCTTAGAAGGGAGGAGGGGTGAAATCATGTTTACAGGCTCTCTATTTTGCCCTGCCGCTGAGAAGGTTTTTCTACCACTTGAATAAATTGATAAATTGATATAATAAAAGAACTGTATCTGAATGAGCAGTCATGGACTTGAGGGGCTCCTAGGCCTTAACACGTGGGGGACTGCTTAACCAGAGTCAGAGTCAGGATGTGCCCACGGCATGTCCAGCTCCCTGATCTATTTTGTTTAATCCAGAAGTTTCCCAGGTGGCACTAGTGGTCCCGCCTGTCAATGCAGGAGACATAAGAGATGTGGGTTCTATCGCTGGGTCAGGGAGGTCCCCTGGAGGACTGTATGGTGACCCACTCCAGTGTTCCTGGCTGGAGAATTCCATGGACAGAGGAGCCTGGCGGGCTACAGACCATAGGGTTGCAGAATCAGACGACTGAAGCGACTTAACCACACATGCACACTTTCAAGTGTACTTGAATCACCTGGTGGCTCAGCTGGTAAAGACTCCACCTGCAATGTGGGAGACCTGGGTTTGATCCCTGGCTTGGGAAGATCCCCTGCAGAAGAGAAAGGCACCCACTCCAGGATTCCGGTCTAGAGAATTCCATGAACTGTATAGTCCATGGGGTTGCAGAGTCAGACACAACTAAGTGACTTTGACTTTCACTGAATCACCTGGAAAGAGCTCCAGACTCTACTGCTCTCACCGAGCTCCCAGGTGATGGCTGTGGGCGTCTGGACTGCGCTCTGTGAGTTTGCTCTGTGTTTTTTAGTAAAATTTAGTTACCAACAGTTACAAGTCAAGAGAGGAACTACTCCAGAATTCTGGTTTCTGGTTTCTCTTTGAAAAGAGTGAGAGAAGGACTTTGCAGTGGTTAAGAATCCACCTGGCTATGCAGGGGATGCAGGCTCAGGCCCCGGTCAGGGAACTAAGACCCCAGATGAAGCCAAATAAGCAAATATTTTTTAAAAAGCTTGATGTCCCAGCATCGGAGGACGCCCTCAGAGGCAACGAGATAAGTTGTCCAAGCCAAGAGTGGCCGGTCCCCATCTGAGTGTGTCCTCTCCAGCTCATCGCAGCCCCAGCGGTTGGCTTCCCTTGCCTGTGACCTGCATCCTTGTGAGATTAGTTTGTAACCTGTGGCCTCTAAGGGTCTTTAGGAAGTGCCTGGCAACACCCTGCCTCGTAATATACCCACTGTGTGCTTGGCAGCCTTATGCGGAGGGTACATGGGGGGAGCTGCTGCTGCTTCCAGCAGGTCCTCAAGTAGATCCAGGCACGTGGTGGATTGAGTGTTTGCATCCCCCGAGGTTTCTATGTTGAAACCCTGACCTGCTGTGCAATGGTGTTAGGAGGTGGGGCGTTTGGTTTCATTAAATGAGGTTTAGATGAGATCGTGAGGGTGGTGACCATATAAGAAGAGGAGACAAGAGCACCCTCTGCAACGCGACACGCACGAGAACGAGGCCACGCGAGCTCGTGGCAGAGGGTGGCCGTCGACAAGCCAGTCAGCGGGCCCTCACCAAATGTGCTGTCACTTCAGTCATGTCTAACTCTTTGCAACCATTTGGACTACCTTCCATGTTCCTCTATCCATGGGATTCTCCAGGCAAGAATACTGGACTGGGTTGTCATAACCCTCCTCCAGGGGATCTTCCCAGAGACCAAACCTGTGTCTCACGTCTCCTGCGTTGTCAGGCAGGTTCTCTACTGCCTGGGAAGCCCCAGCAACAGTAGTGGTCATTTACTGCTGCACCACAAACCAGCCCCAAACTGGTGGCTTAAAATAACAACCAGTCATTGCTTCTCACAAAAAAATAGTAGTTTCTCATGCTTCTAGGGTTAGCTGGGTGATTCTCTTGATCTGGACTAGAATCAGTGAGTCCAGCTGGGCTCACTCAGGTCTCTGCCATCTGCTAATGGGCCAGTGGGGGCCCTGGTCTAGAGTGACCAGAGCTGCGGACATAGCTCTGATGCCTCATCCTCCAGGATCAAGTTCAGGCTGGGGATCAAGGTGGAGACAGGGATCCAGGCAGAGATGTGAAGCTGCTTCTTGAAGCTTCACCCCCTGATGAAAAGCTGCAAAGGGGCCTGAAAGCGGGAAACTGACTGAGACCATCACTGTAGCCGAGTTACTGTAGTATGGGTCTAGTTTCATTTTTTTGTTTTGTTTTGTTTTTGGACAATGCTGCATAGCTTGCAGGATCTTAGTTCACCAGTCAGGGATCAAACTCTGGGCCCACAGCAGTGAAAGCACCCAGTCTTAACCACTGGACTGCCAGGGAATTCCCTAGTTTCACTTTAGAAAGGAAGAATTTGGTTCAGAGAAGTGGGATGTCAAGGCCAGCTCCCAACCTCTGAGTTCCTGCAGGGATGTGTCTGTGGGTCTGTGTGTCTTTGTCTCCCCACTGAAGACAGCAGATGGACAGCTGCCATGCCAGCCTGTGATGTTCCCTACAGGGAGCAGGACGCTTGGGTCCCACAGTGGGTGCTGCAGGCCAAAGTGATGGAAGTGGGGGTGATGGAAGACCCCTGGACACAGAACATGAAAGGTGAACTAGAAGTCCTGGGGATCTCATTGGGAACCTGGAAAATGCTGTGTGCTGGGCAGTTGCCATGATGACAGGTATCTCAGCTGCTGAGCTGCTCCGTATACAATCTGAGCATCTGGAAAGACCCTAGAGAAAGATTCTGATCCTGGAGTCGATGGGTGGGTTCTGGGGCCCTGATGCTGCTGCTTTCATCAGATTCTCGAGGGGTCTGTGTCCTGCCTCCAGAACGCAGGGGTTTCAGATGGTGCTTTTCGGTGACCCACATTTCTCAGCAGAACCTTGGTGGGCACTGACGGGAGGGGAGGGAAGTGGCCTGGGGAGAAGTTAGAGAGCTGCCCTGCGCCTTTCCTTCCAGCTCTTTCCAGCTCCTTCCAAGCTCTGCCCAAACTCTCAGAGGAGCCCTGTGCACCATAAGGCCCGCCTCCTCCGTGGAGACCCCTGGCCTTGGGGGAAGAATTGGTCCCAGAGGCAGCCCTCAGGCCACAGGGAGGCAGGTTGTGTTGCTCTCTGCCGTCTCCAGACCCAAACCCCAGGGGCCTTCCCGGGAGAAGACCAACGTCACCAGGGCCTGCGGCTCAAACCTGACCCCAGCTTGCCGGCTGCAGGGAGCTCTTTCTGAGCACCCACCAGGCCCACAGGCGCTGGCAGTTCCTCGGAGAGACCCCGCCACAGTGCCAGGACAGCATGAAGAAGTGGGAGGGGTGAATGCAGCAAGAGCTGCTCCCCCTCCCTCAGTCAGAAGCGCTGGGCCCGGCTGGTAACCGCGGCCAAGGTGGGCAGGGAGCCCATCGGGGCCACAGGAAGCACACCTCTGCGCCCCCAGCTGATGGCCCTTGGCCTCCTGCTCCAAAACAAGGGACCCTTTCCAGAATCCCGTGACGCCTGGTGGCCACCAGGACCCACCTCTGGGTCCCAGGAGAGCTCGCAGGAAGGATGGGTGGCACCCCAGACAGGCCCCACCCACTGCTGACAGAGGACTTGGCGTCCTCTGGTGCATCTCTGGGACTTGGGCAAAAACCCAAGGGGAGGGGAGAGTGGCCTGGGAAGGTGGACAGCAGGGCCCTCGCCTTCACCTGGGCATCTGGCCAGGAGACACCTGCAGCCCCATGACTCAGGGCTGACTGGGGCCCTGGGGCCGTATTTAATACTCTGATAGACTGCCCATGTCTGTTTTTGCACCGTGTGTATATGCAGTGGGTTGAACAGTGTCACCTGAGAATTCGTGTCCACCCAGGACCTCAGAATGTAACTTTACGTGGAAGTAGGGCCCTTGCCAGTGACTTCTTGCCCGTGTGCTTGCTTCAGGATCTTGAGAGGAAATCATTCTGGATTTAGACTGAGCCCTAGATCCAATGACTGGGGTCCTCATTAAAGAAACACACAAAGGAGAAGCCGCGTAAAGACAGAGGCAAAGGGATTTCCCTGGTGTCCAGTGGCTGAGACTCTGTGCTCCCAGAGTACGGGGCCCGGGTTCGGTCCCTGGTCAGGGATCAGGATCCCACGTGCTGCAGCTGAGTTTGCACACTGCAACTAAAGACCCCGCACCACAACTAAGACCTGGTGCAGTCAAAAAACTAAATACATATTGAAAAAAATTACAGAAGCAGAGACAGGAGTGATGTGGCCACAAGCCAAGGAATACCAGGCACCCCCAGAAGCTGGAAGGATCCTCTCTACAGCCATAGGAGGGAGCACGACCCTGCCAACACATTTATCTCAGACTTCCGGCCTCCAGACTGAGAGAATACATTTCTGTTGTTTTAAGCTCCCAAGTTTGTGGCAGTTTGATTTGGCAGCACTAGGGAACTCACACAGTATGTCTGCGCTTCTGTATTAGACATGGGATTTCTTTGTGTTCCCCTAATCTCTCCACTCTACTTCCCTGGTAGCTCAGACGGTAAAGCGTCTGCCTACAGTGCAGGAGACCTGGGTTCGATCCCTGGGTCGGGAAGATCCCCTGGAAAAGGAAATGGCAACCCACTCCAGTATTCATGCCTGGAAAATCCCATGGACCAAGGAGCCTGGGGGGCTACAGTCCATGGGGTTGCAAAGAGTCGGACACAACTGAGCAACTTTACTTTCACTTTCAATCTCTCCAAAAACCAATCTGCAACCCCTTGAGGGTGGTGTGGTCCCTGTTAAACATGCTCTTGAGTCTTTTAAACAACAGCTGAGTTATTCTTGAACAAACCCAGGGAAACCTCCTAGGCAACAGACAACAGAGGGGTGTCCAAATCTAAAACGTTTAATGCTTCTGGTCGGAGCAAACAATCAGGTGAATTTAATGCTTCCAGTTGGAGGAAACCATCAGGTGAACAAGAAATGCCGTGTTTTCCTGGCTGAGACAGAATGTGTGATCAGTTCATTTTACAGGGGGAGAAATTCCAGACACAGGCTGGGGTGGGGTATGGGGGGAGTCTCAAATCCCCCTTATTTCAACCTGTGGGGAGACCATTGTATTGCCAGTTGAGGGAAACACCACTCGGAATGAGGCCCTTCTAGATGAGTGGACGTGCCCAGAGAATGCAGTTTCTGCAAAGGAAAAGTCAGAGGGAAACAGCATCCACGCTTCTCTCCAGATGCATGGTGTGTTCGATAGTGATGGGCGTCCTCACAGGATGGAGTCTGGGGTCTTTGGATGAGAAGCATTAAACTATCAGAATAACCACTGACTTTTATTAAGAGCTTTCTGTGTGTCGGGCACCGGGCCCAGAACTTCACATCCACTCTCATTTCGTCCCACTACAACCCAGAGAATGAGGTAGGCACTATTCTATCCCCATTTTACAGATGAGGATGTTGAGGCACAGAGAGGTTAAGTCACCTGCTGAAGGTCACACAGCTCATGTGAAAGGATGGCTGGGGCTTGAACCCCACCTTGTTGAAATTTTAAGACTCGGGCTCCTAAACTCAGTGCCTAGGCAGATCCTATTGCTAAAGGGACATTTGTGTCCTGGCCACAGTAGGCTATGAACAAGATGGAGAAAGAAGCCATACCCAGGGGGCTTCCAGCCCTGAGGTTTGGGGAAATTGAGAAGCCAAGAGCTCAGCATCTCCTTCCTTGGATTTTTAATCCCAAGCCTCTCAAGGATTGAGGAGAGTAGCTGTTGGTTGCTGATGCTCCAGCGTGGGCCCCAGGGACCTCCAGAACGGGAGGGGAACCGTAGCAGATGACACTGTGGTCATCTGCTGCTCCTGTGGCCCAGCTCTCTTTGTCTGTTGGGTCACTGGCCCTCCCCCACCCCTCTGTTGCTTCTGGAAGAAATGTCAATCACAGGGCTCCCAGTTGCTTAGCCAATATGTCCACAGGAGTGAGCACTGCCCAGGGCCACAGCAGTGAGTGACTGCCCAGGGCCAGTCAGAGCGTTCCCTGGGATTTGAGATGGAGAGTCTCTTTCTGCCTTAGAAACTGAGAGCCCTGTGGTTGTAGGCTAGGGGCCGCCAGCAGTCACTGTTCCCTCCAGGTGAGGAGAGGACAAGGTCAGCGTGCAAACTGACATAGATCCAAGAGGCCTAGGTGAGGCTGAGGATGGGCACCAGAGCCTGAGGACACTGGGCTCCTGGATGCAGCTGTACCTGAAGCAAGCCCCACCCTGGGCATCCCAGTTACTGCAGACAGGGAATTCCCGTTCTTGCTTAAGCCTGTTTGAGCTGGGGCTTTCCTGAGGGAGATGAAGACAGCAGGCTCTCAAAAAGATAGGCATAAGGCTCCTCATTGCTCCTGTTAAGGCAAAACCCAAAAACGCTAAAGGCAGGTCAGATCCGACTGCAGGATGCCAGTGGTGACCTCTGACCTGTTACCTGTTATCAGGCCCAGGAAATGAAAGGAGAAATGTCCTCAGACCCATGCCCCTCCCATGCAGGAACTTAAAGTCTTTCAATATTGCAGCTGGTACTGAAGATCAGATTTGCCCCCAGTGCGACGGCGACAAAGTCATAGACCCTACCCCACGGGGGAGTCCTGGTGCATATTGAGAGCCTGGATCCAGCCTTAGCTGAAGCAAGACCTTTTAGACTGGTCAGTTACAAGTGCCCATGAATGGTTACCCTTTTTTGTTTAAGCTGCTGGGAGGTGACTTACAACCCAAAAAGACATAATTAAACAGGAGATTCCCAGGAGACAAAGGGACCTTCAGAGAATATAAAGATAGTGAGAACTGCTTCATCATTGCCTGGAATTCAGCAAAAACTCTGGGCCTTCCACTGTCTTCAAGTCAAGGGTGGTCAGGATTAGACCTTCCAGCCACATGCTGTGAAAATGCATTTCACATCCACGGTGGGTGGCTCCCTACAGAAAGTGGAGCCTATAACTCATATAACTGTTTGCCAGCATATCCTGGGACCCAGGGCATCATTGTAGGCTTAGATGCTAGAGTGTATACCCATCATTTCTGCTTCTTAGGGAGGGGAACCCTAAGAGTCTCGGGAGCACCCACCTTGCGCTTTTCAGACCAGGTGGTGGGGACAAGCATGTGGTCTGGGCGGGCCCATCACGGTACCTCCTCCACATACAGTGACTGGTCCAGACTGAACACAGACCCTGCAGGCCAGCCAGTGTTCTCTGTTCCCCCCTGGCAACCGTGATTGGTTCAGGGACGAGCCTGGGACTCAAGCAGGCTGGTAAGACTCAATTCTGGGAGGCTGGATGGAACTTGGTCAGGAGACAGATGCTCTTCTGCACCCCAGCTGCGGGAAAGGGAAACTAACAGTGCCGGGGTCGCCTGAGAAGGAGGCCACCCCAGGGAAGCTGAACCAGAGATGGAGGGGGCACTGAGCCCCCAGACCTGAACGGGGTCCACCCACCCCTTCTTGTGCTTGAAGCCCGGTCATAGATGATTCTGTCCTCGACACCCCAAGAGCCGACGGGGGCCTCCAGACAGCCCGACTTTGGCAGTGTGCAGACCCAGGGCTGCAGCCCACATGGCCTCGTGGACAGGTGGGGACGTGGGAGGCGAGCAGGCTGCCCCATGGGGCTCGGTCCCGACTACCTGGAGGCCAGGGAGCTGCTGTGGGACGGCGCTGAGGAGGAGGAGGTGGCAGCGCTGAGCTGGGAGAAGCGGCTGGAGCAGGATTCCAGGCTGGACATGGAGCCCCTGGAGAGGAAGGAAACACACGTTGCCTCCTGGTGGTGACACGGCCCTGGGGCCACTGGGAGTGGCGGGAAAGCTGGGGATGATGCCAGTGAAGCCCCAGGGCTCTTCCCACAAGGCTGGTAACCCCTGGGTGCAGAGAGCAAGTGCAGAGGGAAAAGCAAGTGAAACTGATGAGACGTGAAGCCTGGCCCACTGCCTTGCAGGGACTTCCTTCCCAGCAGAGCCCAGCTGGCCACCCACCTCTCAGGGGCTTCACTGACCCAGAGGCCCAGCATGGCCCAGAGGGCACCCCATCATCTCCAGCCTCATCCCTCTGCCTCCTTTCAGCTCCTCCAACACCCGCCTCCCATGTCTCGGGACCTTGTGTCTGTGCCTGCAGCCAGAAGCCTTTCTCTCCCGCCCACTTTGTCTGGTCAAATGCCACCCAGACCACAGAGCAGAGAGCCATCCAGGAGACATTCCTGGGATGACAGACATGTCCCATAACTGCGCCTTCCAGCACGGCTGTCACGGGCCATGTGGGGCTGCTGGGCACTCGAGATGTGACTAGTGTGACCGAGGAACTGAACTTTTAATTTTATTTAATTCTAATCACTATGTTTAAATTGCTGTCTGTGGCTAGTAGCTGTCGGGTTGGAGAGTACAGACTTAGGGCCTAGCTACTCAAAGTGTGGTCTGGGGACCAGCAGCGCAGTGTCTCCTGGAGCTTGTTGGAGATGCCTCAAGAGCTAAGCAATCCGAGTCTGCGTTTTGATGAGCTCCCCCCACCCCTAGGTGATCATGTGCACACGGCCTGGATCTCAACTCGAGTGTCACTTCCCAGAATCTCCCCCAACCCCCTGCACCCTCACCCACCCTGTGCCCGCCGTGGTCCTGGGCTCTGACAGCATCCTGTGTTCAGGCCGCCAGCACCTCCTGGACTATGACCTTGGGGCAAGGACCTTCATGGCATCATCACTGCTCGTGTGTGGCTACGTGGTCTCTGGATGGCATCATCACTGCTCGTGTGTGGCTACGTGGTCTCCTGTTTCTGGATGGCGGACCCTGTCTGCCTGGTCCCTCTAGGACCACCAGTTGCCCACCGAGGACAGCCTTGAGCTGGCACTCTCCCGAGGCAATCAGGGTCAGGGCATCAGGTTCCCCCACACGGACCAGACAAGACAGGCTGCAAACAGCTTCCAGCTCACCCCTTGGCCTCCGCCTGCCGTCCCGGAGGCAGCAAGCCCCTGATACATGTGTCTACGGGTCTGAGTCCCCCTGGGCCTCGGTCTCTCCCCCCCACACTGAGGCCCAGTGGCCAAAACAGGCCACCTCCCAAAGAGGGAATCACCACCCTCTGACACACTATGAGGTCTACCTTTGGAGTAAAGATGCTGGCTCAGCATTTCCTTTCTTTTATTTTTCTTCTGCCTCATGGCTTGTGGGATCTTAGTTCCCTGACCAAGGATTGAACCCACGCCCTAGGCAGTGAAAGCGCGGAGTCCTCACCACTGGACCGCCAGGCAATTCCCAGCCCAGCATATCCTGTGCTGGCTACTTGTGCCCCTAGAATCCCTGCAGCTCCACCTGGGATGTAGGTCCAGACCTGACAGTCTCCTGGAGCTTCAAATCTACTCCACAGTAAAGAGTCAGACATGACTGAGCGACTGAACAACAACAAAAGAATTTGAAGCATCATTTTTAGAAGGAAACTGACACAGCCACGTCATGAGGCAGGATGCAAAATCACATTCGTTTAAGACAGAACACAAGTTGTGGCCAATTCAGGTTGATGTATGGCAAAAACCATCACAATATTCTAAAGTAACTATTCTAAAATTAAATAAATTTAAAAAAAATTTTAAAGCTAAAACACAAGGCCTGGAAGAAACCACTGTTGAGTGCTTACTGTATGCACAGACTTTCCCCACCCATCTTATCCTCAGGACAACTGCATGACGTAGGGGCTCCGGTGGTCCCCATCTAACAGCTGGGGCGCAGAGAGGTAAAGTGACTTGCCTGAGGTCACAGAGCAAGCAGGAAGTGCTGGAGGCTTACCCTCCCTGTCTCCTCCCCAGCAACATTGGGGGAGAGTTGTCTGTGAGACATAATTCTAGAATGTTCCAGAGCAGTCCAAACACAGTTTCATGGAATTCTAGGAGTGAGGGAAGGTACAAATAGGAAGGCTCAGGCCCCTCTTCTCCTGCCCACCCAATCAGTCTGGTGTGTGGGCCTCTGGGGTTTTGTTTGAAGGGAAGTTTCTGCAGCTGAGGCTGAAGCAGAAGTGATACGATCACCCATGGTAAGGGGCTGAGCCACTGGAGAGTTTGTCAGCGCGCACGGCAGGGCCCCACCCCTGGAGAAGCTCAAGGGCATGCAAGGAGGTGAGTTCAGTGCCCCCGCCTGGAAGGAAGGGGCCTCGGGCGTGCTGCGGGCCTGGCCCGGCGGTGGGGGCGGGGAGCCGGGGGGCCCCGTACCTGAAGTCCTCAGATGCCAGCACCTCGTAGTAGTAGAGAAGTTTGCACCTGGGGCCGGGGCTGTGCACGGCCGTCAGGACATCCTCTGCGCCCGGGAGGCTGCAGGCCGCGGGGGCAGGGGGGCTGTGCATTCGCCACTGCAGCAGGTAGACGCCAGGCCACCGGGTCACGTGGGAGCCCTGAA